GCTTCTTTTGGCGGTTTTCTTTCGGTCTGCTCTAACTTATGCATGTGCATTTGTGCATATCTTATTATAACAGATTTTCTTCTGGGTTCGTGTCGTCTACGTGACGCTTCAGTTGGAGAAATATCTTGAGAAAACCACACCCTCCATGCTAAATAAAAAGGGCAGAAAAAAGACGGAAAAATACATTTCAGTATACCTACCAAAAAATAACTGCAAAATATATCTATGCAATACTTTGTGGATACATTTATAATTGATTTAGTTTTAATGATATGTCATGACAGAATTTGGTCCTTTTTTTCTAAAAAGGAGATTGATATTTAAATCCTATTTGATTATTGACTATGACTAGTATGTGCAAGCATCTTATAGTCTCACAAACATCTTAATTAAGTCAGCAATCTCAAAGCCGATTAATAAACAAATACTTATTATACTTATTGTGTTAAAACTGCGAATACTTTAATTTATAAATTTGAAACATTAGATTGAATATAAAGTTGCTTTCAATGATCAGTTACGTTGCAAACGTTAAATGAACATTAACATATTTGTTTAAATGAAACGTCATGAAAATAATTACGTTTTAATAAAATGATTCATAAATGGATTACTTTGCGTGTGCACTATCTTGACATCTTTTCCCCAGTTGACAATCATCACGCTGCATTTTGTGGCTTATCAGCAGCTTAATAAGACTAAAGCTTGTGGAATAAAGTGGAAATGCACATATTCCCATTCAAATCGCTACGCGGAGTAAACAAGACAAAGTCACGTAACTCAATTCTTTGCTTTGCTTATCAAAATTCCCACTGAGATCTTGTTCAAGATTTATTGACAGCAGCAGCGGAAGTTGGAAATGGGCAAGGCACATGTACCCCATGTGTTACCTTCCTTTTATTTACGCGCAATTAACCCAGTTACAAGTTCGACATGCCGCTTCGGCAAAAGGCCCCCCACACACTCATGTATATCCTGCATTTATCATAATTACTTCCCCAGAAATTTACCGCCAAAAAAAGGAGGACGAGAAGAAAAAAAGGGAAGGTTGCTGATGATGATGAGAACGTTGATGAATGCCCTGGGCTTAAGCGAAGTTATGCAGCTTTGGTTAATGTTTTAATATGCCTCTGGCAACTATTAAGCGCACTTGAAAAGATGAACGTTAAATGCCAGGCGCATATTAAACATCAATTATTAATGCCAAAGTGAAAAGTGTTCGCGCTGAAACAAAGTCTTTCGCATAGCATACATTTGGGGGCTCTCCTTTTCATCCTGTCCATTTGAGAATGTGTATGCTCACATTGTATGCAAATACTCAAACATTAAAATGTGCTTAGCAATTATTTTAAAAATGCACACAACCAAAAAAAAAACAACAGCTACGATTGCGATTGCAGTTTAGCATTGGACCAAAAAGGGCGATGCAAAAAGTTCACACACCAAAGAATACACAAAGAAAAGAATTTATCAATTCAACTGCAAATTTTCTGCCTTCAATCATTTCATAGTTTTGTATATATTAACGCAGTTTCTCTTCTCTATTTGTTTTAACAGAAATAACTTAATTTACTACAGATGAAATTGATACTAAAGTTTTTGGTTACTCGAAAGTTTTTGTTTTTCCCTGTGTAGACAACGACAGATAGAACATGCAACATGCAAACTGCCTAGGCTCTAGTGCCATAAAAACTGGAGTGAACAATATACAAAACTTATTTTCAAATCAAACAACAGCAAAAACACCAAAGTCTATGGCAAAAAGGGGGCAAAGGGCGGAGGGCGGCGCAGTGACAACAGCGAAACAGTTACAACAAAAAGCCAGCTGCTGGAAGTAGACAAAACGGAGAATTGGAATTCGTTACAGTGGAATTTGACTTAAAAAAAATGCACACATCGGCATAAAAACTATTAGGTTTCCAAATTGGTTTTACGGACCTAGGAAATAATTACTGGATGACTTAAATAACTGGTTACAGTTAAAAAAGGATCCACATTTAAATGAATCTCGTTTAGTAAAATTAAACGAAGTTTAGTTTTAATAATTTATAACTGTTATTTAAAAAAACCCATAAAAATTTTTGTAAGATAATTAAATATTTTGAATAAAAATATAAAAACTTTATTTCGATATAAATATCAGTTTGAATGATAATAATTTCGTTACCCTACTGATTGATCCTCCCGCAAATATGTATCGTTTCAATATAAATATGAATGTCAAAATCGACTTTATTTATTTTTTGATATATATTATTTAATATATATATATATTCCTAATTTCACTGCTTTATTGACACGGTCCATCTATGCACTCTCGACTGGCTGACTGGCACAAACCAGAGTCAGACTAGCAAATACCAAAAAATGTCACATTGCGCGCATGAAAAATGTCCTTGTGACAAGCGCCAACGCCAAGCGGCGGCAACTGTGGTTGTGTTGCGTGTGTGTGTGTGTGTGTGTGAGGTCCTTGGACGAGTGTGTGTGAGTCCTGGCTGTTCCTCAGCAAGGTCATGAGTAAATACGTATGGAGCATGCTGTTTTTGCCGTTTATTCTCTAACAAAGCCAAGGCAGCAACAAGAACAAAAAGGAAAGTAAATAAAATAAAATAAAATACAAAAAGTGTACGAAACAAAGGAGATGGTTAGAGCAGGAAAGAAATTTATTGTCATATCTGTATAATATAGGGAAGCTTCTGCTGATGCTTCTTATTGATATTTATACAAAATACATTGGCACACAAACATATGTTTTCTATTCCAGCGCGTGTGCTTGTATGTTAGCCTCATTTGTAATGGCGTCTGCTTGCCAATTTGTTGTGTGGCAGAAAGAAATGCAAATGTGTATCGGTAAATCAAAAAGGACATTATTGGCTGCTTGTTAGACGTAAGCACAATTGCCAGCCATTACGTAGGTGTCCCTGTGTGTGTTTGTTTCACTGCATGTATGCGTGTTTGGTATGTCCTGTTTGTGTTTGTGTTTGCCAATGGTCGACCGCTAAGTGCGCTTAAGCGTCAAACCAAATTGCCCGCCGCTTTGTTTTTCAGCGCTTAGCTGAAAGTGCACTTTACCTTTCCCATACCAGCCCTCTCACACAACTCCACAATTCACACAAATACGAGTACAAAAAAAAAGCACACACGCACAAGTATTTGAGTACTCGAAACTTATTTGCTATTCACACTCGATTAATCGAAAGCGTTTCGTTTATGGCTTTGATGCAACTTTTTAATTGAATTCGACCGGCTGATGGAAAGTTAAGGAACTTCCCTTTGATTGCCTCCTATATCCAATCGCTGTGTTTGATAGTTTTCAATAGCTTATTTATTTATACCAGTTCACTTTAAACTTTTAAAACTAAATTGATTTGCAATGAATAATAAATCCTTATTGAATGAACTTTTAAGCTTTTAAACAATCAGCGTCATATATTATGAAAAACATACAAATTGAGACAAAGATCCAAAAAACATTTTTTTGGACAAAAAAAATTAAAATTTTATAAAATACCTAAAAATTAAAATTAAATGAATTTAAGTATCTTTGCAATTTTAAGTGTTTAGTTAAAGCTTTAAATTAAAAATTTGTGCATTTTGAATTGGTTTTTAAAAAATAGCATTTTATATTTTTTTTGCCTAGGATTAGATTTTGTATACAGTGTCCGTTGTCAAATAATTGATAAATTCACGTGTGTTTATCTAAAATTTTGGTTTTATCCAGGAAAATGGCAAATATAATATATTGCGGCCAGTGCCGCAGATTGGCTATCGTGTGCACGTCATTCGAGGGCCATGCCTATGTGTGTGGCAATGTGTTTGCAGGGCTATTTTCAACTATTTATGAGCACCGAGTTATGCCGCATCCCCCTGAACGACGTGAAAATGTGCGAATGGAGCGGTGGGAGAGGGGGTGTCAGGGGGGAGAGCAACTCCTCCGAGAGTGTGGCACATGGAGCTGCCGCCTTTGTGCTAACCTGTTTTTTGTTTTTCCAACCAAAGTTGGCACATAAATAATGAAGCACGGGGCATAAGTTCCCATTGATTTCGCAGTGTGTGCAAATGAGTGTGTGTCTGCGTGTGTTTTGCGGGGAGGATGAGGATGGTGGCGGTGTATTCACCATATGACTCTGGAGATTAAGCCATTGTTTGCACTGAATGTGGCGCTCAGTCTGAGCTGCGGCTTAGCGGCCTGCGTACGCAAACAAAAGTTGTTCGAGGGATTGCAGATTGAATGGTGGAGCGGGTGTTTTAACCCAATTCCGGTTGGGTAGTACCCGTTCCGAGTGCAGGAGTCGATTAGGCCCTTACAAAATCATGGAAAAACGACTGACGTAAATGAAATCCTCATTTTTGCGGATGGTTTATTATTCACTAATTTTATGGTTTCAGTTTCAGCGTCAGTTTATAAAAAATTATGGACAAGAGATTAAAGATCTGACTTAAAAGTATACCAGTCGATAAACGCTTATACTTTTAAGTCTGATTTATAATCTCTTACCATACCATATATAAGAGGAAATAATTAGATTTGAAACGTCTTAAATTATTCAAGAAAACTATCAGATTTTGTAAATAATTTAATTTTTTTATAACTTCGAGGTGTTTTGTGTATACGTCAAAAAAAGTTCTTTAGCTGATCCCAAAATTGGGTGGATTTTTTGTGGCATTTACATTTTCTTTCCAAGTGGTATTGGGCTTGTAGCAGAATCTAAAAGATGTTGTTATTTGATGATAGAATATATGTTTTCTTTAGTATAAATTCTGATAGAAAATATAATTAATATTTCAAATAGCAAGCAAAAACATAACCTGGACCCTTAAATGGAAAATAAAATGAGGTTTTTAATTATTGGTATAAGCTTGAAATATAATGATTGAAAACTACATTTGTTCTTAAAATGGTTTTTCATACAATTTTATAAAAAGGTTTGATTGAACAACTTAATACTTAATGTTTATTTCTGTTTACATCCTATCTAATAATATCCTCTTTGTTCCAGGTCCAGCAGTGTAATGCGCCTTGGGGGCAGTGGCATTCCATACGACGGCGACCCCCTGACAATGAGCGCAGCTGGCAACGACTATGCCGAACTCTGTGATCTTGGACCCTCGCGATGGAGTGCCCGACCCTACGGATACAATGCGACCGCAGCGGCAGCCGCCGGCTTTGGCCTTGGGCCCTCGATGGGCGGGACGCAGTCGTCGTCGAGCGTGCCGACGGGCGGATCGGCGGGACTCAGCGGTCACCATCTGCGCGGTAGTGTGGCGCCGGGGCCGAGCAGTTTCGAGGCGGAGGACATTGGCCTGGCCTTCGGCATGATCAGTCCGCCGCCGGGCAGTGGTCCCTATGGCGGATCATCGGCGGCAGCGGCGGCGGCCAGCGGATCGCGCGTGGGCAATAGTACGAGCTCGCTGCGCGGCGCAGGCGGTCGCTCCGGGTTGTACTACTCCCCGCCGGGCACCTCCTACACGATCATCGAGCGCCCCCACTCGCCGCACTACTACTTCAACTCGGCGGGCGTGCCCACCAAGGGCGGCTCGCTGCCGGGGCGTGGCAGCGCCTATCTCAGCTCCTCACCCGCCAGCCACATGGCCGCCGGAACGGCGGGCACCCTGCCCACCTCGACGGCCGCCAGCGGACGATCGATGGGCCAGCACGCCAGCAGCAACGGCAACAAGAAGCGGCCCATCTCGCCGGAGCAGGTGCTGCGCATGTTCGGCGCCACCCAGTCGTCATCAGTTCCTACGAGTAGCTACCACTACAGCAACGGCGGCACGCGGGATCGGGATCGCACGGGCAGGCGCAGCCCCGCCAGCAGTCCACCCTCCACCACCCACCAGGTAGGTTTCATTCACTTTTTACATACATATAGAGAAACACGATTTATTAAATAAGATATTAAATATAATAACTTATTTTTACTATTACTATTTTTCCCCCTTTTGGCTGATTTTTATACACATTGTAGACGAGGTTATAAATGAAAATCACAGTAGTCCTTTAAAACTAAAAGTCTCAAATAACTATTAGTTTTGGTCCCTCACTAGCTAGTATAACTAAGTAATCTATGCAACGTTGCACCCCAATAGATTGAAATCTGTATCGACTTTCACAAGATAATTATATTTTAAGACACCTCGAAAACCTATATTCTGTTAAATGTAAATTAATCTAAAACCTTGCCATTTCTGAATTGTATTAATTGATCTTACAATATTAATCGCAATAGTTATCATGATCTAAGCACAAATCGTATAACAATTTAAAAAGAGCTTTGGAATTTAATATATGTTTTTTAATGCCTTTTCACATTTCAGATTTATCGGGATCGGGAGCGGGAAAGGGATCGCAGTGTCCCGAATATCCACGAACTTACCACGCGAACCGTTTCCATGTCGCGCGACCAGCAAATCGATCATGGTTTCGGCATCTGCGTCAAGGGAGGCAAAGACTCAGGTGAGTAAAGGGAGATACAATTTTCTTCGTTTTTTCGTCTTTTGAAAAATCTAAAATAAAGAACTACATGATATATTCAATAATAGAAAAGACACCATTAGCATTTACCGAATTTGTGTGATTTGTTGTCCGTTTTAAATAGTGGTTTTCGGTAGTCCCACACGTCGTATACGTGATGCTACTTTACTATTTCCAAATATGACCCTTCACAGGTTTTTTTTTATTAATTAAGCTACTTAAAGAAAATTATATTTCGTTCATTTTATGCTTCCTTTTTGGATATACACTATACACTAATATTTAATCTGCTATCAGCTGATATGAAGAATAATAATAAAAAACTTTGAGCAAGCTTAAGCCCACCGTTTCGCCAAAAATCCTTTAGCCATTCAATTTGTCTAGAACCACGCCTCTTGCTGTTTGATTCGATGTCACGCCCATTCAGTTTGGGTGATGGTTCTCCTAGTTTCTTTTGGCTTGGGAAGCTCTTAGGTGCAATTTAGTTTTCAATTTCGTTTTATTGTCCGGGTCCCTCAGAGGTGTCCGTCCGAGTACAAGCAACCACGTGTATTGGCGTGCATGTTTGTGTGTGACAAACCGCCAGCAGCTTTGACATTTCCAAGTGCATTTTGCACCTGACTACCTTTTTGGCTAACCAGCTCTTCCTGCCCCTTTTCCTCTGCCCTTTCCTCTTCCTCTCCTACTTCCCCTCCTTCATTTCCATTTCCTGTCGTAGAATTTATTTTTAGTTTGCAATATGCGCACGGCTTTAAAATCGATAGAAATCTATTTAAGTTGCCCCCGTATGCAGGCTTCTCCTTTTCCCGTCCCACCTCTTCAGTTTTTCCTCCTTTCCTCTTTTCCTCGCCGCCATTGTGCAGATTCACACACACAAACACATACACGTGCCATATAAATTAAACATAAAATGGCTGCCGCACTCCATCCTCAATCCTCTGCAAAATGGCAGAGCTTAATGAAAAACATCGACAAAAAAATAGAGGCCTGAGGAAGAAAGGGGTCTGAATAATTCGGCCGGGGTTGTGGGGGAACTTTTATTAAAAATTGAGTGTGTGAGTGGGCTGGCTAATTGATTTCTCCCTTGTTTTTTTTTTTGTTTTACCTCCCCTTTCAGGCTTAGGCGTCTACATTTCACGCATCGAGGAAAATTCGGTGGCCGAACGCGCCGGTTTGCGACCCGGTGATACAATCCTAGAGGTGAATGGCACCCCCTTCACCTCAATCAATCACGAGGAGGCGCTGAAGGTGAGCATCTCTCAAAATATTTACGCTCGCATAAATATTTATATCTCTTTTGATCTTTATTAAATATTTTGTAGTAGCTAATGTTATTTATACTTAGATAAAAATTGATCAAAGCACACAGCAATGTGGGAAGAAATGAATTGCTCTTGTGTGTCCACAAAAATAAATGTTCATTGAATATTAAAATTTATTGATTAGATGACGCCACTTTGACAGACAAGTAATAGAAATTGTATTAAAAGAACATATTTAAGCGTCTTGGAAATAATTCTTATATTAAAATGTAAAGTCAATCTTATTTTTGCCAAATCAAAACAGACTGAAAATAAATTCTGAAGGCAATTTAAAATCTTTTTAGAGACACGAACAATCCCCATTTCTGGGAATTTTCATCTTGTCTTCTCTCCATCTTTGCCACTGCCTTTCGTTCGGCCCTGACAGCCATGTCAAATTTTTCTTCCATCAAAAAAATATCTAATTTTATTGTACACTTTATTGATTTTTAATGGGATTTTCTAGCCAGGCCAGGCTGGTATCGGCAGCCTCAGTTTGTCAATCGCTGTCTCTTAATAGTTGCCCATAATGGGGTTCTATCCATCAAGCATATACAAACATGCTACATATTTATATATGTAACCGTACAACGGGTAAACTGTATTCAGTAGGCCACCATCGCCTTTTATGGTCGACACTTGACAGAGTAACCAAAAGAAAAGGATTTCCACCGCCCTCCGACGTTGGCAGCTGCCTAACAACGAAAGTCAATTTATAGTGGAATATTTTATGTGACACGTTATGATAGCCAATGTAATTCTCCCTAAAACATATTACTAAATGTCTAAAAGGAAGAAGGCTTAGGGATGGTCGGATACTGACACATGGTGTGCCATTTCTCACGCGTTCTAGCAATTTAAACTTTAACCGTTTTCGACACAACTTGTTTGGGGGCGCACACAGCGAAGATAAACACAAATGCAAATATATGGACTGACATTTCCCCCATAAACCAGATCGATTTCTGTCTGCTTTGAGCGATTTTTCGTAGTTGTTTCCTATACAAGTATATAAATCTTTATGCACTTAATACAAGTTTTGTATGAATATTACTAAACCAAATACGAACATACATTTGAGAAAAAATATGAAAATAAAATCAATAATACACTAATACAAATATACACTGAGAAAAAATTGGCAATAGACTAGTCGCATTTTGTATCCTAATTGTTTTTGAGTATGTTGTTTTTTTAATTGCCATTTATTTTGACTTTATTTCGTTGGTAGTTTCAGTTGAAAGACTTGACTTAGACGAAGACTAACCAAAGTATTGCACTGTTAACTTCTTGATAACATAGTAGACCACCTTTCACTGTGTAGAAGCTTAAAAACAATAAAATATACAATTTATAAGAGCTGCACATCCTTTTAACTCTAAAACTGAGCTTAGCAGGATTTTACAATATGTATATCCAAGCTGAAAGACAAAGAATTCAACCACAAAAGCTTATGGCGCTGCATTCTAGATAGACAGAATTCAAAAATATTAGTGAAAATTTGAAAAGCTCCAAGGAAAGCCGACCGCAAACCGAAAAATTAAGACTCTGACCGAACATTGAAACCCCGAAAGCGGGCAACACCTGTGGGGATTCACAGACCAATTTGCACGCAGCACCCGCATTGCCCCCCTTGGTCCTTGGACCAACACAATTTTGCACACAAGTTTTTTGGTCAGGAACAATTAAGATAATGACAACCAAATGCGGAAAGCGACGGGGAAAACTGACAACAAAACCAGACCGCAAAAACACGCCGACAAAATGAAAGTCAGAGGGGCACACATTTAAAGTTAATTAATAATTTCGGGAAATTTCGCTACCACTTTACGTACACGTTTTTGTCCAAGCAATTAGCGATTTTTAATTTAATTTTTATTCATTTTCATTTAGTATTTTGCTCCTTTTCCACTCTCTCTCTTTCGCTCTCTTTCTTCTTGTTGGTTCGTTACGTTTTGCTCGCATCTGTCCTCTCTTTTTTGTGTCTCTTCTATTGCCACATTTTTTCTTAACGCAGAGATGTGTGCAGATATTGAAATCGTCACGTCAAATCAGTATGACGGTGCGAGCGCCGCCCACTCTGAACTCGACCGCCCCTCTCCACGGCTTCGGTCCGCCCTCCCGCGACCCCATGTACGCGTCGATGGCACCCCCCCTCCACCCGCAGAACCAGGCGGCAGCGGCAGCAGCGGCGGCGGCCGCCTCGGGGGCGGGTCTGCCCTTCCGCCAGACCTGCTCCTGGATGGACCGCCACGGACGCCCCGCCTCCCCGCCCATGGAGTACGGGGGCAGGCGCAGCGAGCGACGGGATCGGTGAGTATACATGTTCAAGTTATCGGTGATTTTGAAGTCTTGAATGTCCTATGCAACCTATGATAAATCAATCCTTTATGGAAAGATAGTCGTTCAATTTTTATAAACGTAAAATCATAATTCTGAAATCGTTAAAAGCTACCATATCTCGAAATACGTTGGTATATGTCAAGAAACACGGTTATCATTTTATTTCCATTTTTTCTGATTGTTCCTATGGTAGTAGGCCGATCCGGACCATTTATATAAGTTCTACCTGTCTGTAAAAAATGTTCTGGGCTTAGAAGTGCAGTTTTTGGACACCTTTCCGCAAAGAGAATTTAAACACAATCATTTACCAGCAAGCCACTTTAAAAATCGGATGTTAGAAGGAAAGGTTATGGGCTTAGGTGTGCAGTTTTTGCGTACTTTTCTGCAAAGCCTTTACAATAAATAAATACATCTCCTGCTCCCTTTAGCTAGTTATTATTTTGGTGTAACTGATTTACCCCTCCTTAGGATACGTCGCGTGGAGCTGCTGATCGAACCCGGCCAATCTCTGGGCCTGATGATCCGCGGCGGGGTGGAGTACGGCCTGGGGATCTTCGTCACCGGCGTGGACAAGGACAGTGTGGCCGATCGGTCCGGACTGATGATCGGCGACGAGATCCTCGAGGTCAACGGGCAATCCTTTCTCGATGTGACGCACGACGAGGCGGTGGGTCAGTTGAAGTACCACAAGCGCATGTCGCTGGTGATACGTGACGTGGGCAAGGTGCCGCACTCCTGCACCTCCATCGAGATGGAGCCCTGGGATGCCTACAGTCCAACGGGCACACGGTGGGTGCCTTAAACCCTCCAATTTCTTCTGAACCTTACAATGATGTCCTTTAATCCTGCAGAGCACGCCGAAAAGGTCAAATTGCGACCATGGTGGAGGAGAAGGCGCGCTCTCTGCTGCCCCGTCATCACTTTGCAAGCCTTTCCTACTATATTGCCGAATATAGTGCGAAAGCAATGACCATAGATGCCTTTGTTGCCGTCTTATTAGAGATGTTAGATACGTACGAGAAGGTGAGTTTAAAATATGGAAAAGTATTCTATAAAATAAAATTTTTGATTTTCTCCATTTCCAGCACTCGCTAGTGACGGAGATACGGGAACTGGTATTCCCCGAGGATCGCACGCGATACGACGAGCTGGTCTATCGCAGAGAACGCGATCCTTACAGCGTGGATAGGCATAGGGTAAGTCCAAAGATCCATATTTACGAATAACCCCTGTGTAAACCCCTTTATCTTTTACAGCGTAAGGGAGACCCCGCCCGTGATTTGCCGGTAAGCTTTTTAGAAGATTTATTCTACGACACAGACACAATATACACTTAGTTCAAAGAGACACTTCTCTAAACTAATAAAATACCTACACAATGAGCATGTTCTGCCAATTAGACTCTAACTAAGCTTTGACTACTGTTAAACCGGTCTACTGTCCACTATTCGTCTATATCTACTATACTTACATAAATATCTCCTACAAAATGTTTATTGTTTAGTATATCTTTCTCTTCTTGCTGTTGTCGTTGATAATTGTTGTCACTGTATGTTTGTAACTTTTACTTTAATTTATCTGTTTTAACTGTAGACAAAATACAAATAACACTCGACAAAAAGAAAATCAAAACAAAACTTGTAGTTTAATTGTTGAACGAGATTCACTTGATACTTTCTTTCGACACCCAACTTTAAACCAGTTAATGCTTCTTTCATTTCCCAAAAATCGCATGTAATTTTCCCTCATTTTCTTTTGAGAAAGCTTTCAGAAACTCGCTTACATTTGATTCGGCCCTTTGCAAATAAAATTGCATTTCAAAACAAAACAATCAAATCGAATGTCAATTTTTCAAAACAAAAAACACAAATACAAACAATTTTAATTACATTGTAGTGGCAAAGGTTTTACATATTTTTTAGCAATAAGGAGACCCAAAGTTAGGTCATAAAACTGTAAATTAAGAAAAAACGAAACCAATTCGATCGTATCACAAACATAAATTGAAAATATTCCAAAGTACATTTGCGTCACAACGAAGCAAAACTGTCGGTGTAAATAAACATTATTAATTTATACATCTATATAAAAGTACTGGGATATGACTTTGCCAAAAGTCACTTAGATACAAATTGATTTAAAGCAAAATAGTTATCTTTAGCTCTAGAATTACGTTTAAGTAATATAATTACTGTAACATATCAAATCAAGCCTATGTAATCCCACACCAAAAATGCACCTAATGGATAACCAAGAAACCACAACAGTCACCAAGAATCAGCACCGAAATATTCATATAAATACCAACCAATATAACTATCGATCGAAGTACGAATGCACTACCAGACACTCTATCTCTGTCGCTCTTCAGCTTAGATGCTATCTCTGTCTCGCTCTGTCTCTTTATCCCTGTCTCTATCTATGTTCCGTGAAATTCTACGGAACCCTAGACTAGAACCTTTTTCACTCACTCACTGTCAAGCTGTCCAGCTGTCACTGTCACACCCGCTCTGAATCGTATGCAAACCAAATCGTTCGTTTCGTTTCGATCCATTCCGTACCATTCCGTTCCGTTCCCCAACAGGTAACAGCCGATGATTTGGAAATTATAGCCGCCACCGGACGGAGTCCTTCGTCGGACTCGGGATTGGGCATGACCGTAACGGATATACACAAACGGTACCTAGCCAATAACCGAAACCCTTTACCCATAATCCTTAATCCGTTATCCTAGCCCTAAACAGTGTTGGGAATGGTAATAGTCTTTTGGAATACAGCTAGGCAGTTTAAAACTAAAGAATCTAGTTGAGTTAAAAGTTACATAGTTCTGCCAGTATCTAGGTAAAAATATATTTAAATCCTCACATTGATAATCTGCGTTGAACTAGTTTAATTTAGTTTAGAATCGAAGATGTACGACGCAGCTTAAACTAGTTGGGAATTTTAGCATCGCAAAGGCGGCATACTTCGAAAGTCTCGAAAACAAATACAGTATCAATACAGGCAAAGCCACAGTGTAGACACTTTTTAGGGCAATTCAAACCCTGGCGCTATATAGAATAAATTTTTTTATTTATTTATTTACCTAAAAAAAGTTTAAAAAGTCTTCAGAGTGGGAGGTGTTTACTTGAAGAAATATCTAGGTATTCCCCAACACTGATCCCAAACCAAGCTACTCCCAACAGAAACAAATAACTGACCTGTGTATATGTATACAATAGACCCGCACTTCAGTTGCCCCATCGACCCATGTCGGCGGGACCCATACTGCATCGCTCACAGCCAGCATCACATTATCAGACAGCCAGCAACCAGTCCTCATCATCATTATCGCCTCCACAACAACAGCAGCAACACCAGCAGCAACATCAGCAACAGCAGCAACATTATCCACCCCATCATGCCTCATTGCGTCATCTGGGCGGAATCGGCGGCAACGTGGGATCTGGGCGACATCATCACCATCATCCGTTGGGACCAAGTCAATTGAAATTCAAGCAGGCCAAAGACAATCAGCAACAGGTCAGGACCGAAGCGAGTCGGGCGAAGAGGGTAGCAAGCTGAAAAACTTATATTGCCACCACTATCAGTCTACTTTCACTGTTTCTCGAGCTGTACCAATCTGAAAATTTCAGATCCTGCTAAGTTTCCTATCTCGTAATTAGGCTCTCACTTGAAAAGTACTTCCGAGCCAGTTTCCCAAAATTTACCTATCTCCATGGCACAAATTGTGCTACGAATTTCGATAGGGTTTTTTTTAAATATTTTGTGGCACCTAAATTGGTTTAAATGCAGTATTTTTATTTTTTCTAAAGTTTGAGTAGGACAAAAATTGACATTCGGCTTTAAAATGGCCGAGGTTTCCAACTGTCTGTTGTATATGTTTTACTTTATTTTGTATCTTTAGTGTCTTTAACTATCTATCTCTATCTCCTTTCTGTATCTTTGTCTCTTGTTGTGTGTAACGTCTCTTGTCGTCTTTATATGTTTGACTTATTTTCCATGTTTGTCAAACTGCTCAATGTGGTTTATGTTTACGTTTTCGTCTCTGTTTCCGGTTATGTTATACTTCCTTTTTAAATGTTGTCCAATTGGCTATTGAGTGTTGTAATACCGTTAAGTCGCATTAAGACCAGTGACAAACTGAATTGGTTGGTTACCAGCAGAAAAAGTATTTAAGCCGCTGAACAATGTATTTTGTAAATTCTTTTATCCCGGCTTAGGAATACGGCTGTGATGAGCACAGAACTCGCCGGGGCAGCGAAACCCTTTTACCGGAATACGAACCAGATGCGGTGAGTAAGCGAATCGATCGCGTTTTTGTAGTAGGAACTCTTTTTTCTTGAGGGGCTTAACTGTAGAGAGTTATAAAACTAAATAATTCCAATAAATAGTTTTTTTTTATATATACACTCTCGAAATCTTCCATTTGCCCATTCCATGAAGTACCATTTCATGATCAGCACACACTTCTTTGAACTCCCGCTCTAAGAAAATTCCACTCAATTTTTGTATTCTTTATTCTTTGTATCTGTAACTGTAACTGTATCTGTATCTATAGTACGTTAACTATTCTAACACTAAGCTTAAGCACTATCCTATGGGGGTTATGTATGGGCAGCATGTTTGCCTGGCCAGCCAGCAGGTCCTCCTCACATCTTGTCGTGCATGGAACCATCGGCCATCATGGGCAGATGGTAATCGCGTGGCGGCGTGAAGGGTCGCACAAAGTGTCGCCACTGTCGGTGGTGCAGGGGCGGGGGCGGCTGGATGGGCGTGGATGTGGGCGTGGTCGCGCCTGTTGTCACCGCATGATGGTGCTGCTGATGGCAACTGTTGGGTTCGAATTTCGGGCGTGGTATGCGCAACTGTTTGATCTCCGTCAAATAGGTTTCCATGTTGTCGCCAGTCGCCTGTTGATGTTTGATTTGTTTAAATGATTTGTTGTTCTTTGGCCAAGTTGCAATCAGTGTGAAGTGGACTTTGTTTGAGGGTTTGCCATTGCACTCGATGGGAAAGTCAGAAAAAGTAAATATGGGGGATGGGTGCGAGTTGGGTAACCATAGAAGTCCTGGGAGCGCCAATATGTACAAACCCTAACGAATCTAGTTCAATTTAAATTGCCTGATTTAATGGTAATCTTTAGAAGTAAGAATGAAGGGTTAAGGCAAATCTTTTTGAAGATTAAATAGCTTTAACCAATATTATAAACCCCTTTCGAAAGTTTATCCCAGATATATCGAGGAAGTGGCTTTAAGAATCCTAAAATATTAGACAATTGGAACGATACTTAGACATTGCGAAGGCAATAAAGGAGTAATTATTTCTTATTGTTAGAATAAATAATATTCTATCTTAATGAGGTAACTTAATGAACTTACAGAATTGTAAACAATTCAACAATTTAGTTGCAAAGTATTTGTATCGGCCAAGAATTATTCTCAAAGGAAAGAATTATTTTAATGTTCAACAAACATCACTTATTCACTTAAGTTCTTATTTGATTCAGAGCGAAAACTTGACTACTTCAATCTTTTGATGAATGTTTCCCCTTTGAGCAAACTTCGCCAGCCAGCTACTCAACTCTCCCCCACAACTTGTTGAGTAAGTGCAGCAAAAGTGAAAGTAAACTCACCGCCGAAACCCAAATGTATAGTGTATGTGTGTGTTGGCTAGAAGACAAGACAAGAAAATTGCAATAATTTCCGCAAAAGGCGTTCAACCGTATCACATGCAGGCAGAGGCAGTCAAGTTCAGGGCAGGATTTTCATTTGGTTCGCATGAAATTGATTTGGATGGTATGCCAGCGGGGCAATGGGAAGCTAAACGACTTGCGATCCGCTTGCTTAGCCCTGTTTACACAGCTGACACCATTTGGGCCGGCTTGACCGACCGATGAACGATGGTAGATGGTCGATGGTGGATGGTCGATGGTCGGCGGTCGGCGGTCGACGGACGGACCCGACCCAGACGGCAGCTGAGTAACCAGTTTGATTTCAACTACAACTGACAAACAACTTTTTGTTGGATGTCGCTTGTCTGGCTTATGGGACACTCACTTTTTCGAAATTACCGGGACCATCAAGGGGATAGAAATCGAGGTGGAGCGGGAGATCAGCCAGAGCAACGGCCAAGACCAAAAACTCAAAGTGGGTCATTAGAGAAATGTACTAAATAAGGTACAAAACTTTGTCAAGAGCAAACGTAAATGGAAAGTAAATTGTTGTAGCTACAAGCGAGATTCAAGAAGAAGAAGTTGTTTATAATGTAAATAAAGCATTTTGGATGCGTAGCGAAAACCAGTAAGAAGCTGAAAACAAAAACAAACCCAAATCCGGTCTACAAAATCAATGGGTGTAAAATATAATTATGAGATTGAGCCCAGTTGGTTGAGACTGTCAGATTGAAGACAAGTCTGTCAATAAAGAACACTCTTCTTTATAATGAAAACCCTAATTGGGAAGAACGGGGGGAGGTGTGAAGTCTTGAATGTTGATTAACCGTTATGACAAACTCTTTTACATCTATCCATTATGTTGTTTTAGCAATCCGGACAGTTTGTCATCTTTTGACATTATTAATTATACTTGACTGGGTTCCCCGGGGGTTAGGTAATTATGTTACCTCTTAGATACCCTATGAACATTTTTTAAAGATTTTTTAAAGATCGAAGCTTAAATCAATTGACTGAGACCTTATCAATAGATTTAAAACATAAACAAATAGGACCAACAATTTATTGAATTTAAAATTGTAATATATATCAGAATTATTTTTTAAAACGAGTTACAGCAATTGTTCATAATTTCTAGGAAATGAATAATTAAAATATTTTCACACCATTCAATTAAGTTATTTATTTCTTGATCTACTTTAAAAGGTTTAGAAATACCGATTAGCTAAATAATTTTTTTATACACAAATAATAAAATATAAATTTCATGCTCAACATTTTTGTTATGTAAAAAAAAAAAGCTCGCAAAAAGTTTACAAATCGATATTGGTTAACTATAAACCTTTGACCTTAATTTTTCTGCTTCGGGGTATAATCTTCTTTTGCATTTGATATTTTTTGATAGGTGACAGTTTCACAAAACCCCAATTTTATTGGAATTTCATAAACATAATTTGTCCGACCTTGCAATGGCATTATTGAAATCCGGCTTGAAATACGTTCGGCACTCCATCGATGTATTGGAAAAATGGTGAACTCGGTTCCCCTCCCACTTCGATGCGTATCTAATGACAAAGAGGTGCCCCTGCCCCCCAGTTACCCTACCCCCATCCCCCATCCCCCAGCCTCCGAGTAAACAACGAGGTCAATGGCATGTGCTGTGAATGATGATTGCCAGCTTTTCGATTCGAGTTACAAAAATTGAGCTACTGCGGCTAAAAAAAACATCATCAAACACGACAACAAATCTTGGCTGCAAAAGTTTGCAAAGTCATAAATTTGATTGATTTTGAAATGGTTTCTCTGAGCAGCTTACCGAAAGACGCAAAAAAAAAATGATTGAACAAATTGAGAGTAAAATTGCCCATAAAATGATGTGCGTAGGGAAAATACAGTTAAATGGGCTGACAGTCAAGCAATTGACTGAAAGTTTTCATTATTGTTTGGAAAATTCTCTTTCTCACTTTTCTGTGAAAGTTGTGTTTGCCGGTTTTTCAATTGGAGTTGAGTTATTCCTTGGGTTCTGGTGAAATTTTTCAGGTTCTGCCAGTCTGAACCTTTTTTTTTGTAAACTTTTTCTAAAGTTAAACAAAAGGTGAACATTTAATTTGTTGTCTAATTCACACTATTGTTATGGCAGCGATGAAGTCAGACGCCTGAGATCCGAGTTGAGCTCTGTGTTGTGACACTGGATATGAATAATTTTGTTCACATTTGGGCTAGCTCATTGACCTATAAAGCAACTGACAGCTGACCGAATGTCTAAGAATAATTTATCAAATCTCTGGCTCTGATTTTGTCGATCGGCGGTGATGTGAAGTGGGTCAGAGTTGGAGCTGGAAATGATTGGTTAACTGAAACCAATTTTAATGAATGCATAAAGAGCGGAACAACGTTTTATTGGTGGAATCTCCATTAAGTTTCTCCTCGGAAAAGGGGTATTTTTATTTATGCCATTTCCAATGGCAATTACTTTAGTCAGTTGTCAGTGCCCTGGGGGCCAGAAAACACTCTGAAAGGCTGTCCAAAAAGCCATTAAAAGCATTTCGTTCGTTCTGTGTTTTATGCGCACTTCTTTGAAACCTTCTTGCTTTCCCTACAACCTGACAGCCGATGTTTTTTTCTGGGTCGAAATATTTAGCAACTATTTCGCAGTCTTACCACCTAGAATCCGCCATTTCCGTCAGCAACTTAATTGCAGAAAAGAAAGACAACAAATCAGCCGAAACCGCTGTCTGACTCTGGCTCTGGCAATTAAAAAGAGTAACAAAACAAAAACAAAGGAAATTAGCCTAGCCGAAAAAGGTGAGAAATAGAAGTTAATTGAATGCAAAATGCAAAGCAATAAAGCAGCCGACACATGTCGGACTAGTCTGCCAAAGGCCCCAAAAACAGAGTGCGATGATGATATAATCAAAGTCGGGCAGAAGTGCCAGGCCAAACTTCTTCTGATGGCAATAATATTTATGCAACCATTTTGGAGCAAACAGAGCGCGAAATGTAACGAAACGCGAGATTTGTCAACTCCACAGGCAACTTGTTTCTCGTTCAATTTAAGCCAAATAATACGCACTTTTAGCTGATGCTTGTTGGCCGCACAAATCGTTGTAAACGTATTCTGGTGCTCTGCTAACTGGGATTTCAACCTCACGTTCGAAGCGACGACGCGCGACTGAAACTGCAGACTTCTCTGAAGGTAGAGCTGCGGCTGAGTCCATAGTTGCTGTTGCCCAGTTGAAGTTGCTCATGTTGCTGTTGCTGCTGCTGCTGCTGCTGCTGCTGCTGCTGCTATTGCTATTGCTGTTGTTGTTGCTGCTGCTGCTGCCAAAAGCCAACGATGCCCAGCCAGCCGCAGCAGCAGAGTTACTCTTCGTTGGCCAGAGTCGTGGGCAGATGGTAGCGAGTTTGGCCAAAAATAGCAAAAGACCTCGTCACATAAATAGAATTGAACTTCCGTGCTTCACTAATTTGTAACCTTTTAAGAAGATTTCCTATCAAATTTCTTTCAAGTTGCTCTTTAATTCCTATAAAGTTATTTTAACATAAATAGTAAATCAGAAAAAGCACAGATACTCACATCGATGCTTATGCATTTTTTATTGGTCGTTAGCCATGCGTGAGTTCTTTTAGTAATAAGGGATTACAAAATGATTAAATTAAAGTAATAAATTTATTAGCTAAGATGTATTGCAAACATTTTAGCATTATACCAAATATTAAATCTATAACTCTATTCAAATCATTGTAGTATACTTTAGTTAGAATATGTATGATAATTTTTTTATCTAATTTATAGGTAATTTAAAAAAAACTAATTAAATTAACATCCAGATTCATGGAAACCTACAAAAAAAATTTCTAAAATTATAACTATATATAATTTAATGTAAGTTTATAATATAAAACTCAAAAATAAATTTTTACTTTCACAACGAATATTTAAGGTAGCATAAGTAGATTATTTTATTTCTTATTTTAAGATTGTTATGAGAATTTGGAACTCAATGAAATGCAATCTTTATTTTTGCTAGAGCATTATTTGGCCTGCTTGGCATACACATATTTTTCATCTTGGGATTTTTGTTGTTGCATTGAGTTTTGCTTTCTTTGACGTTTTGCCACTGAACGTTTTCCCAGTTACTTTTTATGGCCTAGTAATGTAAAAAATTACCCACAGCGACGACAGAAAACAATGGCAAGCTATTTGATAAACAAAGATTGTCAATATTTATGACTTAAAATTATACTGCAATTATATCGCCAAGATTTATGCTCTAAGTGCGAGTGTAAGTGTGCAATTTACGCAATGGTCAAACTGGAGTGACAAATAAATAAAATGTATCTGTGGGATACTGCGGTGGTAACTGCAGCTGACAGCGACTGCAGCTGTGCGGCATTTTTTTTTCCTCCTGCCCCCTTTTTTTTCCCATTTTTACCACATTGGTTTTGTTTTGCTCTGGCATGACGTAAACGGAAAATTTGTTATTTCTGCCGACTGACTCAGGCGGGAGTTGATGGCCAAGAAAGGCGTTTGCATTTGGCATTGAAAAGAGATGATGCTCATTAGTACTTTAATCGGCGATAATTAATTTTTCTTTTTCGGTTTCCCTTCTTCTTTTTAATTCGCATTCGTTTCACGCTGCGTATGCGCAATGGATGGGAATCGCATTAATTGGAAACAGGAACAGGTAAGCTCGATGTTCGCCGCATTCGCCGTTTGTTACACTTTAAGCACTTTTCGAAACTATCTTTTCGACACACTCACACTCAACCAAATGCCAAAACACACACACAAACACTCATATATATATATATATATAAACTCCAAGTTATATACATACATACTTAACAAAGGAAAAACCAATAAGGAAGCAATCGTAACCAAAGAAAGAGAGCAACAAAAACTCTTGTAAATATTTAGCTGGCTACGCTGTTTTGAGCCATTTATCTAACTAATTCCGCCGTTGGTGTTTCGTGTGCATAATTTTCAAATGCAAGAGGTGGGAACGGTGGGCGTATTGCAGGCCCATGTAACGAAGCTTTTGAGAAGATTACCTCACAAAGTTTTGACATAACCAAATCTAATTAGCAAATGAACGCGTTTTAGTGGATGTAGGCGTAGTTTAAATCCGAGATTATTCAGTGGAACAAGGGGATACTAAATTGAAGCCTAAAAGTATGCTATTAAAATATACGCAACATGTGGCCAGCAACATTTGTGGCCAAGTAGCGGTGATGATGCCTAGCAACATTTGTAGCCAACCAATCAAGCTATCAACATGATGCCTAGCAACATTTGTTGCTAACAAAAAAATATACAAAATCTATATAGCAAATATATATTCAACCACAACATTTTCAATTTAGTAAAACTAGATTTTATAGAAAATATTATAAAGAAAAATATTTTGACCCATAACTTCAGTAGAGGTAATTCGAATTAGATACATTAACAAACCCATATTATGGTTAAGTTATTAGCAATATATTGTTGGGTACTCATTTTTCAATAGTTTATCTAAGTAGTTATGGTTACAACAAATAAAAGTAACTTTTAACCTCCCGTAATCTTCGACATGTATTCAGTTCAACTATATAACCAGTAATAAACTAAAAGTAGCTTGACTAGTTTAATACAAAAAACAACCTAGGAACCCCACAAAGACCCACAAAATCCTCCTATTTCTTTCTCTCTTTAAACCTAGCACACTGATTTTCCCCCCTGATTTCCACTCGATTTCTCTCATTTCACCCGGCACCCTCACCACCACCCACTTTTGTTGTTCCATCAGATCCATAGACTCCAGATCGTTTTTCAGTTGGATTTCCGTGACCTCTTGTCCCGTACTCCCCGAAATTGTTCTTGTTTGTTCATTTGTGTGCATTTCAGGGCGGCTACTTAGATGGACTGCGTTCACATTTGGGTGGTTTAACACAACGTGTCAAATCATGGTATTGGGGACGACCTCTAGTAAGTGCCAATGTATTTTTCGTTAAACGTTAAACGAAAACAAACAAATACCTAATAATAAAAACGACACCAGCAACCACAAAATAGAAATTGTGTTCGCAAGTTGAGTGGAATATTTTTTGTCTGCGAATTGTTCTCACAGTCTGCATTTTGTTTTTCTTTTGGAACAGACCTTTCAATTTGCATCTCGTTGCATTCAATTTAGCCTGAACTACTTAGTATTGTTGCTATCACTCTCTCACTCGCTCTCTATCTCTCTCTATCTCTCTGTAACTCTGTCTCTCTAATAACTTACTTAACTTACTTAACTAACCGTTTTGAATGTGCATTGCAACGACAGCCACTGCAAGTGCCATTAAAATAACAAAATTAAAAGATTGTTTTACAAAATTGGGTTGCATTTCCAGCATTTTGTGTTGTATTCGTAGGAACTGTGTTTTAGTTTTGTGCTCTCATTCCAAATCAAATTTTGCTTGCCCCACAAGTTAAACCACATTATTTCCATTGTGTTTCGTTTTTTTTTTTTTTTTTCGTGGCGCACTCGAAAACTTTTCATATAGATTTCTTTAGTCTCTTTGTAAAGTAATTGTCAATGTAAGTATTTTAAAACAAAAGCTAAACAAGACACAAGACTAAAAAGCCAACAATGCATTTAAAAGCGAAAGGTCAAGCCTTTAAGACAAAAAACGAACCAAAGTGAAATAAAAAGAAACAAAAAAAAAAAGAAAAGCTTGAAAAATACATTTGCACATTTACGCATGAGTCACCCCGATTTCTAAACACACGCAAAATATCAATATCCGTATCAGCATCGAATAAATTGGTCTTGGTTCACCGCCAGCCATAATTTACCGATTCACCTTTCACACACATCGATTTGTAGTGTTTTACCATTTCTTTTCATTTGCCCTGTAATTAGTGTAAATCCCGATTTATGTTGGCCTTTATTTTAGCTGCTGCTCTCCCACACAAGTACACCTCTATACAACGACATCCACACACGCACCCCAATATCCTAGTTGTAGTTAGCAGCCATTAGTCCTGTAAAATACTCGTAAGTTGAAGTTTTGAAGTTCTAGTTAGCGCTACATTTGGTCCTACCTAGTCCGACTTAGTCTAGCTAACAAATTCTAAGTGTCTTAGCTGCCAAATCTTGCCATTAGCTTTTATAAATAGATTGTATAATTATTGTATAGTTGCAAAGCCTTAAAATGCACAAACTCAAAGACAAACACATCCCAGCCACACACAGACAAATCCACAGATACGCACACAGCACTCGCATATTCATAAATTGCACTCTTGACCTCAGCTTAGTTCAAGATATTAAATAGTTGAAAAGCCGATAGTCCAATATTAAAATGCAGTGACTAAAAACTACTCACTCCATTTTTAGTGCAAAGTGTTTTAAAATAGAACGTTATAAACGTAAAGAGTGTGAAAAAAATGTTAAAGAGTCTCTGAAAATATTTCAAACTATTTCAAGGATTAACCCTTCGTTTGCCTAAATCCCGAATTTCGATTTTAAAGATTAAATATTTCCGCGACTTAAATTATTTTTAAATTTACAAGTACTTAAAAGGAAGCTTTGCCTAAAAGTTTTCTTATGTTCCCTAGTAAATTGAATAATAATTGCTTAAGAATCTGCCAGAGACATGTGATAAATACGACAATTACAAAAAAAAAAGAGTGCTTCTGTTAATGATCGGCTTAAAACAGAGACTTGCAGCTATGCAAGATTGCATAAAGTAAAACCATAAATATTAAATCGATTATTTATGTATTCCACTTCATTGCATTCCTATTCCGATTGTACAGCTAATGTAATATAAAAGGAGACAAGCTTCATTCTCCAGTGACAAACTGAAAACCACAGCCAATTCAATCAAGCAATAAAAGCTCAAATCAACGAACAGTCCAATATGATGAAAGGTAACCAAAAATCGAATGCAAAAGGAAAAATGAAAACTCTGCAATTCAAAGCAAATCAGCTCAACTCAGTTCACTTCGAATGCCAATCAATATCCACAATCTCCGACTGTCCCTCTTACTCTCTCTCTCTCTCTGACTCTTTCTAAAGCACGCTTTGGCATATGCTGTCCCACAAAAACCACCCATCTTAAAAACAACCCCACCACTCAATTTAACCCACCGTATAGTCAACTGTCATACTTTATTCAATTAAATTTCTATCTGTATGTTTGAAAGTGAGCGAGAACCAAAACAAACAGCAAACACTTTCGAAAACGGCTACAATCAAGAACTATAAATATATATTCTAACCATATTTCACACGCAACCAATACAGTCTACCAAGAAATCTACAACGTTTTTTATCTCTACTACAAGCAACTACAACGAATTCTTATGCAAATATCTCTACTATTTTCATTTTACATTCAACTTATTGTACGACAAAAATCAATCAAATGTTTGCTCACTATGCAAAATCAAAACAAACAAAAAACCAAACAAATTCATTGCCAAAATCCATTGTGGCCATATCTGAAAACCAAAAAAAAATAATAAATGAATAGGAGTTGGCCACAAAACTCTCACGAAGTTTCGATATGAAGGAAGAAGGCGGCACATTGCTGGGCGATAAAGGTGTACGAAGGCATCAGGTGAGTGCTACTCCAAACTAGTGCAAGAACACTAATTAACAGATATCTACAAAAATTAACTGAATACAGCACTTGAATGCCAACAACAACTTTAATAAGAAAAAAAACAAAAATCGTATGAAAAAAGAGTTTCGGCTCAAAATGATCAGAGTAATATCTTAAGCATAAAACTTTTCGTCGGTTTTTCTATTAAATTTTATACAATTTGGTCACCCCAGAACATTTCATGATTCATTCCAAACAAATCACACAAAAATTTCTTCTTTCTCTCTATCTCTTTTTACCTAACTCCAAAATAAAACAGCAACTATGCCATTGAATATTTTAAACTAGCAATATATGTAAATTTGAATTGGCCTACCTTTCCATAGCTTGAACCGTTTCCTATTGTTTGAACCACACGTAAATAACTACAACAAACCAAAACAATATTTATTACCAAAGTCCTTGGATCAACCAAATGTTAAATTGCTTGCCTTTACCAAATCACAACAAATCTATTTTACGAGCTTGAACCAAGTTATTTTTGATCAAACCAAAACACTATTTGAACATTAAGCTAATCTTAGATATAATGGATATCGATAAGTTCTTATTAAAATGGAACTTATACTTGAAATCGCTCAATTATTAAATTGTAATTACTAAGATTCGATGCGTTTGCTTTTCAGTCCATGCAGCGTCTGTCAGCGGAGCAGAATGGTGGTTCAACGACTGAACAAACACATGAACACAATCCAAACGTCGTACCTGATCATAGAGGCAACTTACACATTACAGTTAAGAAAACCAAACCAATTTTAGGTATTGCTATTGAAGGTGGTGCTAATACAAAACACCCGCTCCCTAGGATAATCAATATCCATGTGAGTATGCACAATCGAACATACTTGAATTTTTATAATTCATTTATTTATGGATCAGGAAAATGGTGCAGCATTTGAAGCGGGCGGCCTAGAAGTCGGGCAACTTATTCTGGAGGTAGATGGAACCAAAGTGGAAGGTCTACATCATCAGGTAATTGAAAATAAAACATTTTTTAAAAAATGTTTCTAAGGGGTAAAATTATTAAGGGGGATATCGTTTTAAATAATATATTTTTTAACAATGTTTTAATTTTTCAGGAGGTTGCTCGACTGATAGCCGAATGCTTTGCTAATCGTGAAAAGGCTGAAATAACCTTCTTAGTTGTCGAAGCAAAAAAATCAAATTTGGAACCGAAGCCGACGGCGCTGATATTTTTAGAAGCCTAACATTTGCTTGCCCTGCCGGCCAGTGACCCATTGGAACGACAAAAACTAGAGTTCCTCTATGAATGGGGCATCGATTTAACGGAGACGCCAAAACCAATGCCAACACCAATACCGCTAACGAAAGCCAAGAATCCGCCGCCACTGCCCCATGAGATGCACAACAACATCAATAGCCATTATGGTAGCAGTGCGGCGATCAGCAATCATCAACCTCATCCTCATTCGCATCCACATCCTCACCAGCAGCAGCAACAGCAGCAGCAGCAGCAACCGCAGCAGCAACAGCAGCAGCAACATCAAAATACTAAAACGCCCAACACAAACAACAGCAACACACAAGCAACACCAACGGGAGCAGCAACAGCTGCAAACAAACAACAACAAGCAAACACCAACACACCCACAAAGGCGTCGCGTGAGGCGACTCCCACAAGGGAGCCACATCAGCAACATGCCACGCCCACACGCGATCACCAGCAACAAACGCCTACCCGCCAGCAGCAACTGCAACGCGAGCAACGTGAACAACGTGAACAACGTGAACAACGCGATCAACGCGATCAACGTGAACAACGTGAGCAACTTGAGCAACGCGAACAACGTGAGCGACGTGAGCAACGCGAACATCAGTTACAGCAACGCGAACAGCAGCAACATCATCGCGAACGGCAGCAACTGTTGCGTGAGCAACGTGAGCAACGCGAGCGGGAGTACCAACACGAACACGAACACCACCACGAACAACACGCACACCAACACCATCACCATCGTGAACACCACGAGCAAGAACTCCACCACCACCATCATCATCATCCATCTGGATCACAATCACAGCAGCAACACCAACGCTACAGCAGCAGCAACAGCTACAAATCTCATAATAATTCCGTTTACCAGTAAGGAGAAACCGAAAAACAAGAGTCAAAAATACAATTCTCGCAATTGGAGCAACAATTTTTTGGAAACATTCTTTTCAAACTGCAACAGCAATTCAATCAGTAAACAGTTTAATTGTGCTACCTATGTTTAAACAAACAAAGACCTCAGCCCCTCATGCACGCCTCTTTCTACACTGAACACAACGCGCTTGACAAAAATATAAACAAAATTGTCCCCAGAATTACTACTGAACTATTTGAGCCACCATATCCGGCTAAGCCCCCTAGAAATGTGTTAATTTGTTGTAGCTGATGAGATGCTCTTACCAAAAAAAATGTTAAAGGAAATTGTGTCTATGAGCCAAGTTTGTAACAACCCCTTTTTTAAGTTTTGAATATTTGTTTAATATTTTAAATCCATTTTTGAAATATCAAATGCAAAATTTTAACACTGCCAATGTTAAAAAAAAACAATAAAAATATACAAAACAAAAAGCAAGAGCATCTCTCTCAGTTGGCTTTCCGTTCTATCCTTAAAGTGCAGTATATGGCTCGCCCGAAAATTCTCTTAATACTAGAACCAAAAACCACTCCTATCCTCAACTAGAATAACCAGAGACTATCCAGTCTTTAGGTATCCGTATCCTAAGACCCTTTACGAACCACGAACCACGCGCTAGACGAAATGTGTAAATCTGTGTAAACTCTAAAACATATTATTGTATGATTATTATTACTATTGAGTATCAAGCGAGCAACGTAGCTTAGACCGTTAGTCATTACTTGTTTAAACTAGTGACAAGACAAGTTTACGTTCACGAGATTACTGTAAGAGCAATGTTATTTGATGATAAACCCACAAAAGCCCCCAAGAAAAAGCAACAACAACCCGATAAGGCATACATTAAGAAAATCAAGAGCTTAAAATGTTAAAAATGAACAAATAAAATATCTAAAAATCCCTTAAACAGTAAGCAAGAAGAAGACGAGGCAGAGAAAAATAAGAAACATGAATAAAGGCACAGACACTGTAAAATGTAAAAATAACCAGCAAACTAGTAACGAATTGTCGCTTTTGTTAGATTCAATCACACACTAACACACACAAATAACACGTATGCACGGCACACACACACACGCATGCATATTGCCAAATTGATTGTATTTACAGCAGCTAATTGAAAAACCAACAACAAACAAAAATGAAGCCCACCTAAGCAAAAGATAATTTGTAAAAATAAAAAATAATCTTAAAATTAAATCACCAAAAAAAATGTAAAAAGCTATAAATATATATTAAAAGAAGGAAGCAGTAGCCACACACACAAAACTCACACTAACACATACACAAACACCCACTCAGAAATACCTAGCCCAAAAAGCGCATCAATTCTAAATTTTAAACAAAATATCAAATTATATACCAGAAGTGTTGTAGGATTGTCGAAAGATTCGTATTTTATCATCGACTGACATTCTTTAAAATTCAATTTGGAGATCAGAAAATGCTGTGATTTTGAAATCCTATTTAAAGGCGCCTAAAAGTATGCAGCAGAAATGCAACGTTGTGTTTCGGATTGAATTCATCGATTTAAAGGACTCAAAATATATTGTTGAATACTTTTGGACATCATTATGAGTGATTTCTGAATCATATTGATTTTTGTGTCTCAGCCAATAGAGTAATATCCTGATTACATTTGTAAATTCATTTTTTCTCGACTACTCTGACAACACTGCAAGGCATATCCCTGTTATTAGTACAACTTAAACTGCACACTGCACAATTTTTGAATGTTTGTTAAATGTTTTAAAGAGCCAAAGGCCGACACCAGTAAAATCCGCTGCAAAATTGTATTCTCCTCACCAACTAAGGAAAAATCCTCGCACCCAAAAAAAAAAACTGGTCCCAAACCCCGAACTCCAACCCTAAAAAATGGTAAACGAATTATGGATCTGCTAGGGAAGAGAGGCATCTATGTCTGCTCATGCCACTAAAAATGCAAAAATAACATTAACGCTGTAGAGAACAAGAAGAAATTAACGCTTAAAATTTGAGGTTGATTGGCATTAAGTAAAAGTTAAACGATGTTGAAGAAGGAAGAGCCGAGCCGACAGGGCGCGATCACAAGCAAGTAAAAATAAATTATATAACAACTTTAAATGGCACGACGAACAACTTATTGTGCAAACTATAACTTCATACGTATTGTGTAAAATATTAGCAAAAGACAAAATCCTTTTTATAGATCAAAAACAAAATATCCAACATATTTTTCGCTCTTTATCTTTCATCTTCGATTATACGATCTACCTATATCTGTCACTCACTCAGTCAATCGTTCAGTCAATCGTTTCGGCAAGTTTGTTGATTTCGTTTGTTGTGTGTGATAGTGTTTGGAACTAAATGAAACTTTTGCATGTCACAAGAGCAATTTGTTCACCATAAGTCCCCGAGAAGTTAACTTTGTGTCTAATGATAAGTATAGGGCATGGTCCCCATGCCGTGCTTGTTTTTTATATCATCTCAAATCTTTAAGACGAAAACTATTTCTCTGCTTAACTCTCTCTTATTAACTCTCTTTATGTATGTGTCTGTGTGGAAAGCAAATATACAAAATTATTACAATTGAAATTGAATCGTTATATGAGGTATTGTACTTGTATTTTTGTTGACTATTATGTAATTAAACGCTTTACTGAATATCAGTTATGTACATTTTTTAGCTAAAACTAAAAATTAAAATCCAAATTCAAGCAAAAAAGCTTATGCTGTTACTTATTGTTAGTGAATTTACCACAAAAAAAAAAAAAAGGAAACCAAAATCTACAAAATAAAACTCAAGTTGAATTTTTCAAAATGTATAAAAAACAAAATCATTTTGCAACGTTCATGCGTGAAGAAAAGTATCAAGGGGATTGCCTTGTGGACGCACTTACGCCTTTGTATATTGCGATACATTTTGATCAGAAGGCTTAACTTTAACTTTGAGAACTACCAGATAAATATCTATTTAATATAATGTATACATGCATAAAAGCAACATATAAACATATACCGTATTTTAAGCGTATGCTAAACTATATCTAAATTGTAAACGACAATGAGAAGCAATTTTAAGCAAAATGAAGAAAACCATTTCAATTTCAACTTCAATACCCCCACATGCAAACAACACACACGGATGAGGTAAACCATTTATGTGAATTAATATGTATAGTACTATAAATAACTATGATTACAAACAGCAACAAGGCTATCTATATGCTATGCTAATGAAAGGGTAAACGGCATTTAAACTCATTCAACCAAAACAGACAGAAACCGCATCACACGTGAAAGAAATGAAAGCTTATAAATACCATATAGAACCGTATATGTACCATACCATTTAGATCCACAACCATGTACCACGTAAATATCGTATCGTAAATAGCAATAGCAGATAGTTATAGTTAATATGGATAGCTAATTTACCGAATAGCAAAGCCTCAGCCGAAGCAAACTTGTTGTACGATTAAGATTGAGCTAGACTTTTAACCAGAGATAATCCAACTTGTAGATATATCGTTATATCACATATAAAGTGTATGATTGTGTATATTACCGGTTAACAAAATAACTCTTATGATTTCCAGGTCTCGCTTTTGAGTTGATCCTCTTTAAGCCCAACTAATATACATATATATCAAGCCCCCAAAAAACCTTTAATGCATTCAGACCAGACCACAAAAACAACCAACTACAACAAAAACAAACTGTGCCACCTAGTACATAACAAGAAATGGTTATATATCTGTATCTGCTATTAAAACACATACAACTTAACACAGACTTGTACTATACCTAGATATATTATATATAGAGAAAGAAAACATTCAATGCTCACTTTTATATTTTTTATCATACATACTTATATCGAGAAAGCTAATGAAATGGACACAGAACGAAGCACCGTAAGAACCACTGATCGACAAAACCAAACAAAACATAGGAAAACTCTCATTCCCAAAGAACATATATTTATATATAGTGTACAAGTTCTATAAGCCTAGATATTCGTTCCATTGCTTTTTAGAGCCAATTTGCTTTGCTTGCGAGACAACATTCCCTGGAAAACCCCGTACCTCTTTATTATTTAAACTTCTGACTTCAAAAAGACAATTAGGAAAGATAACACCAGGCATAAACGCAAAAGATCGAGCTAAACTAGTGCTTAGTGCTTAATGATAAACGATTCCAATAAAAATATTTCAGTTGTGTATATTGTAAAGAACAATTATAAATGAACAAAATATAAAGTTAAACATTTAAAAAATAATTCAAAAATTTATTGAAACATTAATAAAATAATTGTATTTATCAAAATTAATACAAACAAATCTAAGGCATTAGCATAGCAAAGATAATGGTATACATAAATTGAAATGAAAATGAACACAAAAAGCGCTGATTTAATATTATATTATTAATTATATTATTGCAAACAACAAAGTGAAAAACAAATGATATTGTCCTTGGTATTTACATATACATAAAGAAAACAGCAAAAAAAAAAACAAAAGAAAATAAAAAGAAAACGTTTTTTTATATAACCGAGAACTTTTCGATCGGTGCTCTGTATGGGTTTAAACTGGTTGGGTTGGATGATTTGAACAAAAAAACAAGAAAGGAAAGCTAACTTCGGGCGGAGCCGAAGTTGATATACCCTTGCAGAATACTCTGTAAATTATATTCTCCAAAATTATTCATATGATGCATTCTTAATACTCATAAAAAATCCCAACTTCCTAACTTTAAAAACACCAAAGTTATGGCATTTCCAATCGTTCAGTTATATGGCAGCTATAGGATATAGTCGGCCGATCCTTATGAAATTTGGTAGGTCGGATTGATTTGCCTAATATAACACCCATAGAAAATCCCAACTTCCTTACTTTACAAACACCAAAGTTATGGCATTTCCGATCTATCAGTTATATGGCAGCTATAGGATATAGTCGGCCGATCCCGTTCCGACATATATACTGCGTACAAAGGAAAGAAGGGTGTGTGCAAAGTTTCAGTTCGATATCATTAAAACTGAGAGACTTGTTTGCGTAGAAACAGACAGACGGACAGACAGACAGACAGACGGACAGACGGACATGGCTATATCAACTCAGGAGGTGATCCTGATCAAGAATATGTATACTTTATAGGGTCGGAGATGTCTCCTTCACTGCGTTGCAGACTTTTGACCAAAATTATAATACCCTCTGCAAGGGTATAATGAAAACAAGAGAGAACGCTATAGTCGCGTGCCTCGACTATTAGATACCCGTTACTCAGCTAAACAACTTAATATAAATATGCCTTCTTGTTATATAATGACTAGAAATATTAAACATACATATTTATATTGGCTAAACACATACATTCTTAAATAGTATTATGTATATTAAAGTCGAAATGTTTGCACAACACGAGTAACGGGTATAGCAAATAGCTTTCTTTGAAAGGAGTTATCTTTGCCGGGCAATTGCAACTGTGTACAATGTAAATACATACATATGTATATGCTTACATACATACACACATACGCCATTGTTTGACTCAGACCTCCAATTTGGCTAACTTGATTTGATTTGCATAGTTCTTGGGATATAGTTCGGTATTGACAAATGAAAACCATCGCAATTTCCTTTAATAGAAATCCTTATCGAGAATTAACGTTGACTCTGTTGAGCACCTTGGCCAGCTGTTCCAAAGTCATCCGTTAGATGGCGTCATGAATAGCGGAAATGTAGGTACTAGCCAGGCTTAAGCGTTTAATGGGTTTTTGGGCGTTAGAGTGGGCGTGGCAAACTTTTATTAGGCCAATCGATAGGTATTGACGAAACAAATACATATCAATTAAAATTTTCATAATAGCATCAAGACTGTGGCCACAGCTTGTGGCTTATGGGCGTCAGAGGGGGCGTGGCACAATTTGAAACAAACTTGCGCTGCGTAGGAACTCCTCAAATCTACATGCAAAATGTCAATCTTCTAGCTTTTATAGTTTCCGAGATCTCAGCGTTCATACGGACAGACAGACGGACAGACGGACATGGCTAGATCGACTCGGCTAGTGATCCTGAACACTATGAGGACGAAATATGTAAGCATGGTAAATTTAGCCCAATCTCAAAATGTAAGCAAACTTAGGAGATATACATCCACAAGGCAATTGACCTCAAATAAAACCAAGCCGCTGCAAATATATATCAACTTCAGCATCCGAAGTTTGATTCTATTCTTGTTGATACTTAAAGTGCCTTAAATGCGTTTACTTTTATCTGCTAAATCCCAATCAAGTGTGGCCTAAGTGGTTTCGAATATAAGTTCCTATAAACAAATTGATAAGAATTCTTTTCGGATTAGTCACTTGGCAAAATTCAAATCCAACAGTTCCAAATCACACTGTTTCGCTTTTTTTGCCTCAGTCCAGCGATAACGCATGTATGTAAAGTAGGGCTTCTATCAACAAAATTCTAGTCCTCATTCTTTCCCCATCAAAAATCTGCTATTCAGTTCGTTTTGAAATTTCGGTTCGAGCAGTTAGAGTTATTCAAAATGGCAAAGTTGCCAATATATTTTTTTTGTTCCCTAATTTTACTGAATTTTCAAGGACAATTGGCTGAAACTCAGGATAACGCCACCGTGTGCGTCCTGCAAAATGCTCCCCTCCAATGTGGCACTTTTTGCTTGGCCGCCCTTAGACCGATATTCGATGTTATTCCTAAAGTCCGGGGCCAGATGGATAGGATTGAAAAAGAGCAGCAGGCCTTACGAAGGTCCGTGAAAGAAGACTTAGACGCGTTCCAGGCCAAAATGGATACTCAACTAGAGAAGGTTCGTTCCGAAATGAATGGCCAACTTCAGGCGATTCTGAGCAAAATTGAAGGACTTCAAGCAGCCCCCCAGCAAACACATCCTACAAACAATTCGCCAGCTAACCCAATAGTAAAAGGGATCCCTGATAAAACCGCGATGAATCCCACAAGCAGAAACCAGACCATTCCACCCCAATTCGAGCTGATCGGTTCGAGGTTCTTTTACATAGAAAATAAAACTAAAGAAAGCTGGATTCACGCTGAATACAAATGTCGGAGAAAGGTGGATACTTGGCGTCCATTAAAGACAAGGAGGAGTATGATGCCATTACAGCGAAACTCAAAAAAGATCACATTTATTTGCTTGGTACTAACGATCTCGTCAAAGAGGGCAATTACGTCTCCATTGCCTCTGGGAAGGAAGCAATGTATTTCAAATGGGCGAAGGAAAATCCCTCTGCGTTTGAAAGAAGGGACTTCGTTCATATACGTAACGGTTATATGTATAATGCTTATGATTTCTATAGGGGTCATTTCATTTGCCAAGCAGACAGTGAAACTTAGATTAAATTAATAAGACCACAATGCCAATTTTAAACCATGTATTTAACTATGTTTTCATTAGTGGGTCAAAAGTCTTTAGATATTTCAATGTATAATGTCAAAAAATAATTGAATTTATATGAATGAAATGAATAATAAAAATGAATATGAAAACGCTGTATTTTAATAAAGAAAATAGTTGTTATTGTTGTATATTATATATACACAAAATGCAAGTCAATACATTATTATTACCTTGATTTCACCATTCTTAATATATAAACAAGAGAGAACGCTATAGTCGAGTGCCTCGACTATTAGATACCCGTTACTCAGCTAAACAACTTAATATGTATATCATACACACATACGCCATTGTTTGACTCAGACCTCCAATTTGGCTAACTTGATTTGATTTGCATAGTTCTTGGGATATAGTTCGGTATTGACAAATGAAAACCATCGAATTTCCTTTAATAGAAATCCTTATCGAGAATGACCGTTGACTCTGTTGAGCACCTTGGCCAGCTGTTCCAAAGTCATCCGTTAGATGGCGCCATGAAAGGCGGAAATGTAGGCGCTAGCCAGGCTTAAGCGTTTAATGGGTTTTTGGGCGTTAGAGTGGGCGTGGCAAACTTTTATTAGGCCAATCGATAGGTATTGACGAAACAAATACATATCAATTAAATTTTTCATAATAGCATCAAAACTGTGGCCACAGCTTGTGGCTTGTGGGCGTCAGAGGGGGCGTGGCACCATTTTGAAACAAACTTGCGCTGCGTAGAAGCTCCTTAAATCTACATGCAAAATGCCAATCTTCTAGCTTTAATAGTTTCCGAGATCTCAGCGTTCATACGGACAGACAGACAGACGGACAGACAGACGGACAGACAGACGGACAGACAGACGGACAGACGGACAGACGGACAGACGGACATGGCTAGATCGACTCGGCTAGTGATCCTGAACAAGAATATATATACTTTATAGGGTCGGAAACGCTTCCTTCTTCCTGTTACATACTTTTGCACGAATACAATATACCCTTTTACTCTACGAGTAACGGGTATAACTACTTCTAAATCTCTTTTTTTTTTACACATTTTCGGTAAATTTTGTATACATTTCCTAAGCAATTTTTGATTTTTCAATAGAAAATCAGATAACATATTCTGTAAAGGCTAGTCCGCAGATAGGGTAAAACTTTAAATTTATTTTTTTTACCTTTAGAAAATAAAGCCGAAAAAATACTAAAAATGGATGTTTATTTAAATATTTGATTTAATTATGTTTAAATAAATATTGCCAATTATGCCAATTATCAAAAGTCTGTGGCCTACTTGTTGTTTAGAATATAATGTTATCCATATTTTATTTTATGCAATTCCTGGTTGCACCATTTAGATATTTTATTTGAATCGGTTTTTGAATTCTGGCGCCCACATCGCCGCACAAGCGATGAATCGATAGACGCGGGCGAGTTCGAATTCGCCGAGAGAGACGAAACGATATTCTCAACTGTGTGTTTATAAGCGAGAACGAATTTCGGTTCGGCAACAATTTCAAACAAGACGTTAAAGGCGACCGTGCCTGCAAGCGACTGTCCAGGAGTTCAGAAATTCCTGCCAGGACCTCAGCCCAAAAACACGGTTCACACCACAAAAGAAATCTCATAGCAGTTTAAAAAGTGCGCGCATCCTTGCTGAGTTTTTAAAGTCGTAATAAAAGAAAGTAAATAAATAAAAATTAAAAATGCCTTTCGCCCACGAGCAATTGAATCTGGTGGCCAGCGAGCAGCTGAGCAAAACGGAGACCATCAAGCTGCGCAACCAGCACATCGGGTAAGTCGCATCCTTCCGTGGTCCCTTCCCCATCTTCCGAATCCTTAATCCTTAGTCCATAGTCCGTAATCCCTGGTCCGGGTCGTGAGCCTGCGACCTTGCCTTGAATTCGCTGCGGCTGTCAAGGTCAGGCGGCTTCCCCCATGCGGCCCACTCATCGCCTTCCCTCTCTGTCGCTCGCACTTGCTTTCGCCCCGACCACTTTCTTGTATTTTTGGCACTGTTGCCAACAGCAGCCACCCAAAGAAATTATAAAACAAAAAGTACAACAAAAGAACACAGGAAAACAAAAACATGCAGCAGCCGCGTTTTTTACATTTCGGCTTTATTGATTTTTATCGCCTGACTGCAAAATAATAGGAAGCCAAATTTAGAAGTCTTTTAAAAGTAATTCATGTATCTTGGCACAGAAAAATAAATCTTCCCAACATCTAATCTAATCAAATATAAATTTCAATTTAATTCACGTTGGCTTGGTGGCCAATTGAAACTTGTAAAGGCCAAAATTGAAGAAACTATTTAATTTATTTTAGCCCTTAATATTAGGCATTTTTAATTCAATTTGTTTTTAAAAAAAAATTTTAAAAAAAAGTTTTACACCCATTTATTTATCTTTTCTACTTAATAACATTATATAATTTTCCATTACTTCCTGGAATATTTTTTTATTACTAAAGGCCATATAATTTGTAAGTGAATATGCAAATTGTTCGTAATAAACCTAGATATTCAAAGAACCGGAATAATATTTGGGTTAGGTTTTGTGACTGCAAGCTTTTACAGAATACGTCATCCTACTTTTGGAAATGTTTGATTTATCATATAATGACTAACTATCTTTCTGTTCATATATATTTGATTCTAAAATAAAACAATGTCTAAGGTTGTGGTCAAAATCAATATATGGGTAAAAAAGAAAGTAACTTGCAAATTTTTGTGAATTTCTTATGGCTCAGTATTAGAATCAAAGTGCACTTTCTGTGGCCTGCTAAATTGTTAGCAGCTGTATTCCCGTTTTCTTTGTTTGCTTTAGGCAAACCGTAAAATGTTTATCAAACACTGCGAGACGCCTTGTTTTTGTCTGACAAACACAAATACAATAAACCATTAAATTCGGGAGTGGGAACGGGAATAATCTTAGTGATTATGAAATGTGGCTGTGACGGGAATACTTTGAAATAGGCCCCGGTTAATAGTGTAACTACACTCCCATATACGTCATTGCACTTTACTTAGCTGCAAAGGTTTTTATAGGTCAAATTTATTTAGTTTTTATTTAATATTCGTAATTTTTCCGTAGGCAAGCCTGCCAGCTCTTCTATCGTTCTGATCCTCTGAAAATTGTACGCGGCCAAGGTCAATATATGTTCGATGAGGAGGGCAACCGGTATCTAGACTGCATCAACAATGTGGCCCACGGTAAGTCAAGTCATCTACAACAATGTATTAACTAGAATATATATTATATATACAAAATAATGCATAAATGTATACATTAATATTTGATGCATATTTTAGAATCATTAGAATGTTTCTCTTCTTAAAAATATATGTTAAATAGTATTTAAAAGATCAAAAAAAATATGATAACCAAAGAGTGTAGTAAGAAAACTACTTCAAGGCAATTTAAAAATGTGAAAATTAAATAGATTTCGTTAGAGTAAGTTGCTAGGGCCTATTGTTCGATTGCTTAGACGTCGAATTTGGAACCGGGGCCTGATGACGATTTTGGTTTGGACCCCAGTCCGGCCGTCGACACTTGCCCGCTGGCAGATCCTATTTCTGTTTATGCTGATTAGCAGCGGCACACGCCCGACTAATGCAAAGTGCAGGCCGGGCCGTACAAAAAGTGAGATGTTCAAGTGTTTTTTGGGGGAAATATTGAGGGCCGGGGGGCTGACACTCGCATTTGGCAACAAGTTCAAGGTTGACCGCACATAAATAGATATAGAACAAGTGGCTGGCCAGACGACGGAGGCATGTTCAGGCCCCGATTGAAAAACCCACTGCGACTGAGTCAGCCTTATCACATCGCCCACCGGCAATTTTAGATGCTGCCTGCCGGAATCGGAATCGGAATGGGAATGGCGATGGGAACGGGAATGGGAATGGCAATCCGGCGGGCGGGCCTGGCCACTTGGTTCTGATTTCGGATTTCGGGCCCCGACACAGAGCCGCAGAGCAATAACTGGTGATTAAAACAACAGTGTCATCAAGACAATCACAATAATAATAACAATAACAATAATACCAAATGGCCACGGGCGCATTTGCGTATAAAATATACAGTACGTATTACGTGCACAAATATCACCGAGGGGGGCCCAGTCAAATCCAGACTAACCATATCAACTTATCAACAACGGTGGCCCAACAACACCAACAACAACAACAACAACGAGGATTGACGTCGGCAACCAATTTGCCAATTTGCTGATTCTGAGATCTAGGGTGCTCAAATTGTTTGCGTCTTGTTTTGTATTTTTCCAAAACACTTCCTACAATGGAAATTTTCCACTTACATGCCTGAGCCAAAATAAATTTCCTGAAGCAGTTTGTCATGTCAACATTAAGAATCTCTTTGAACAAAATGCATAACGATGCACTTGTAATATTCATGTAATGAACAGCTGATCTATTTTAGTGGTTTATAGTGCAAGCTATTTTTATGATGCCCCCTTTTATTTAATTAGTTTTTCGCTTTGGATTGATGCTAGTCGAACTGATAAGCTGAGGCCATTGGCATTGCTAATGTACTGAAAAATCATGAAATAGAATTGGCAGTCCAATGAGTCTTGATAACGTGTTCTACTATTTATTTATAGCGCACCTTTGAGTAATACCCACCTGTGAAGTGGGCTCATCAATTTAGGGGTATCAGCTCGGGGGCAAATGGTAAAGTTGATTATAGTTTAGAGATTATTACCTCATGATGTTAGCACCTTTGAGTGTTATCAAGTTTATTTTGCTTTTAAATTTATTTACAGAAAGTCCAACAGTAATCAAATATAAAGTCCAAGAATTTAGTACAGCCTAATTTATTAAAATTAAAATAAATTAGATAAGTTAAGCATTTTCTTTATTTTGAACATAAATATATTGTAACATACAATAAAATAATAGACGAAATTCAGATTACATCAAATCAATCCAAATCATTCGATGACCCACTTCAGTATTTGCACATTTCATCGCAAAACCCAGTGAACCTTGATCAAACGATCGATAGTTTGCCTGCCCGCCCTCAAAAGCGTAATATAAGACCCGTGCAGAGGCTCGTAACTCAGGGCCATAATCATAAGTCATCAATAACAAAGTGGGAAATCAGTCCTCAAGCAAACATAACATGGAGCTGGACACTATAAATATGATAAGGCGACAAGTGCACGTGTTGACGATCTACGATCTGAATAACAAGTTGTTATGAAACTTGAACCACGTTCCGCGTAATCTCGTGCTACTTTTTCTACTCCGGGCCTCCGAGAAGCAGCAACATGTGAACGTCTCGTGCGAATGGAAATGTACTCGAGATAGTGGCTAAGCACAGTGCGGAATAGGGGGAGGGGCAGGGGCCTTCCCGGGAAGAGTCCACATGGCGTACAGTCTGCCCATTCCGTCCGTCCATTGCTCTGTGCCCGTAGTCTAGTTCCAATATTTGCCGCAGTGCCCCTACCGCCCGAGATCTGAGCAATCAGCTGTGCCACTCAGCACACATTGCTTGCGAGTGGAAAATTCTGACCAGATAATCGGAAAACCACCCCGAGTAAAGGGCCCAGTGTGCGGGCTGTGAAAAGTCGGACAAACAGCGATACTGAAGCGTGACTACTTGTAAATTGTCGCTAATGGCGAAATTCTCAATAAATTCGCATGGTTTTTTTTAGAGGCTAGCACTAGCACTATAGGGAGATAGGAAACTAAATTGGGAATGTTATTATTCAACCTTAAAGCTTATTAAGCAACCTTAAAGTCAAAGATGAAAGATCGTAGATTTCATTAGTTATTCGAATGACTCTTTAATGATCAATAGAATATCCCAAAAATTAATAAAGATCTAATGAATTCTCGGCATGATCTTTTAAATTGCCGATCAATAATCATTTATCGATCACTGAAAGTACATTTAGTGTTTACACAAATGTCTTTTTAATGATATCTTAAAAATAAATAAAGATCAAATTAACTTTCGGTAGATTGTCTCAAGAGCCGATGATATTTAATCTTTTGGGAAACCCCTCCTTTTCTTTAGTTAGATGTGTATATTCATAGAAACCTTATAAGTTAGCTGGTTAGATATTTTTATCCAACATAACTTTACTGCTCCACTTATGAGCTGCTCTGCACTCGAGAAAATTAGAGATTCCCCCATGGTCACTTCTCATTGCGAACCTAATCAGCAAGCGGACGCAACCAAATCGGGGAATTGGACTCTCAACATGCTGTACAATTTCAGAGCACTGAAATAGAAACTAGAAACGTGAAGGCATCGCGTGAACTTCACGTGATACCTGGCGCGCCGAGCACTATGCCTTATCAAAAGTCGCGAGTCTAAGTCCACATACAACTAATAGGAGTAGGCGACGGAATTAGAAACGCAATCGGAACGAGTAGTTGACCCCCAAACATCGCAATCTGTCGTCGTGGACGGTAGCGGAGTGGACTGGTCCGGGGCTTATCGCCCATCCGCCGGGGCCTACGGAAAACTGATATTCCAATGGGTGGCGACGCTGATCCACTTGGATCCGGGCCTGTCTGAAAACGTTCTATTTTCGGTGTCGAGTCAGATTTGTCAGCTTTCATGCGGTGCGATGCGCAAACGGCTGGACAATTTAACAGCCGGAGAAAAGTCACGTGCGCAACTCGCTTATTTTTAGGCACGCCCCAATTTTAGTGGGTAAATAAAATCTTGAATATAATCTTAAGTTGGCAGATTTATAAATAAGTTTTGTTAATCTTAAGTGGGCGCGATATTGGCACCTGCATGTGACAATTTGGGGTTTTCACCAGCACAAACAGTATTATAAAATTGTCTTGCTTAAAAACATTTGCGAAATTTGTATTGAAGAAACATTGACAGATACATTGTTATATATCAATTCAGCTATTCTTTGATTATGATTAAAATCGCTCTCTTAAAGATTTAAACAAAAGTTGTTGTCTTATTCAGCTTAACTCACATTACAATAAATTCATCAACAAATAAAATAGCTAATAAATGTGTTATTATCAGCACATAAGTTGAATAAAAAGGCTGCCAGCCAATAATACATTTAAAGAATTATCGCTTAATTTTAATAAGCTTACTAAATACTTTGACGGCTAAATAAATTAGACACTTACTTATGTTTCGTTTTACCTTGTTTTTTACAGTTGGTCATTGTCATCCGGAGGTGGTGCGAGCTGGAGCCTTGCAGATGGCCACGATCTCCACGAATAACCGCTTTCTCCATGACGAACTGGTCCAGTGCGCCCGCACTCTGACCAGCAAAATGCCGGAGCCACTTTCCGTGTGCTTCTTCGTCAATTCCGGATCTGAGGCCAATGACCTGGCCCTGCGATTGGCCCGCAATTTTACCAAGCGCCAGGATGTTATCACTCTGGACCAGTAAGTATCTTTTATAAACTTTTTACTTTTAAAGTGTGTTTAAAAATAATGTATTTAAATTAAATTTTAAAAATATGTATTTTTAATCAAATTCAAATAAGGAACCTTACTTATTTCCCTCTCTCCGTTTTTATTACAGTGCCTACCATGGTCATTTGCAGTCGGTGATGGAGGTGTCTCCCTACAAGTTCAATCAGCCGGGAGGCGAGATCAAGCCAGACTACGTCCATGTGGCTCCCTGCCCGGATATCTACGGCGGAAAGTTCACGGACAAGATGTATCCGGATGCGGATATGGGTGCTCTGTATGCCCAGCCGATTGAGGAGATCTGCCAGAGGCAGTTGGCCAAGGGACAGGGCGTGGCCGCTTTCATAGCCGAGAGCCTGCAGAGCTGCGGTGGCCAGATCTTGCCACCAGCCGGATATTTCCAGACCGTTTACGAGGCGGTCCGCTCGGCCGGTGGCGTTTGCATTGCCGATGAGGTGCAGGTGGGATTCGGACGCGTGGGTAGCCACTACTGGGCATTTGAGACCCAGAACGTCATCCCAGACATTGTGTGTGTGGCCAAGCCGATGGGCAATGGACATCCGGTGGGTGCGGTGGTCACCACACCTGAAATCGCCAAGGCCTTCCATGCCACCGGAGTGGCCTACTTCAATACGTACGGTGGCAATCCGGTGTCCTGTGCGATCGCCAATGCCGTGATGCGGGTGATCGATCAGGAGGGTCTGCAGCAGAACGCCCTCGTCCTGGGAGATTATCTGCTGGAGGAGTGCAATCGCCTAAAGCAGGACTTCGAGTGCATCGGTGATGTGCGCGGCACAGGGCTCTTTGTGGGCATCGAGCTGGTTCAGGAGCGGACCGATCGCATTCCGGACAAGAAGGCCGCCCACTGGGTGGTCAACCGGATGAAGCAGTTGCATCGGGTGCTCGTCTCCTCCGACGGTCCCAACGACAACGTGATCAAGCTAAAGCCGCCCATGTGCTTCAACCGCGAGAATGCCGACGAGTTCCTTCTGGCCTTCCGGGAGTGCCTGACCGCCGTGATGCAGGATCGACTGGCCAGTGCCACCTCCGCCGCCATGGCCGCCACCAGCGGCGTCATTGCCACCGCCGCCGAGACGCTGGCCAACAAAGCGAAGCTCTTCGAGCGCCAGGATCGCCTCATCAAGTCGGTCTGAGGCAGTGCCTGCTGGTTGGCCAATGCCACCACCAACGCCTCTCCGCCTGGGCACAAAATAGCTTTAGCCACCAAGGATATTTAAATTATTCCATTGTCCACCCTCCCCCACCCCATGTCCTTCGCCCCCTGTCCCCTGTTCCCAAGTTCTCTCAACAATTTTTATTTGATTAGAAGTAATGCCATTTACCCGTAATCTACACATATATCTACGCTTTGTAACCATTATTATGTCGTCAATTATCTTCTAGTATCTAGAAAAATAGGGAGCCCAACACGAATTTCTTCCATTGTTATTTGTATGTATAAACTTTTGAGTATATTAAGTTAAAAATGTTATTAAAAAGTTACACGTATTTTGTACATTTTTAGTGTTTTATTCCTTATACAAATTAACAGTTGTGATGATCACTGAAATGAATTGAATCAATGAAGAATTTTATAATTTTACAGAAGATCTTCATTATACCCTTCCAGAAAGCTTTATAATTTCAGTCAAGAGTTTGCAACGCTGAGAAGGGCACATTTCCGACATTATTAAGTATAAATATTCTTAAACAGAATAACCGGCAATACCTTTACATGATTGTGCTTTATTTGCATGAGTTCTCAACTTTGTTTGTATTTTTGGGTAGATTTGCCGTCATTTTTATGATGTAGCCCCTTCTCAATTTTCAAAAAAAAAGCTTTGCAGAAAAGTGACCCAAAACCTGCACTTCTAAGCCCATAACTTTTCTTACAGACATCAGGTTTCTAAGTGACATACTTCTAAATGATTGTGGTTTATTTCTCTAAATATCTGTGTTTTATAAGTAAGTACTTTAAGCACATTAAAAAAAATCCCTTATAAAAATGAAAAATCGACCCAATAGTTGGGAACACAGATTTTTAGAGAAATAAACCACAATCATTTAGAAGAATGCAATTTTGAAATGGGATGTCTGTAAGAAAAGTTATTTTGTATTTATACCCGTTACTCGTAGAGTAAAAGGGTATATTGTATTCGTGCAAAAGTATGTAACAGCTAGAAGGAAGCGTTTCCGACCCTATAAAGTATATATATTCTTGATCAGGATCACTAGCCGAGTCGATATAGCCATGTCCGTCTGTCCGTCTGTCTGTCCGTCTGTCCGTCTGTCTGTCCGTCCGTATGAACGCTGAGATCTCGGAAACTATAAAAGCTAGAAGATTGGCATTTTGCATGCAGATTCTAGGAGTTCCTACGCAGCGCAAGTTTGTTTCAAAAAGGTGTCACGCCCCCTTTAACGCCCACAATCGCTTATATACGATTTTAAAAATTTAAATATTTCAGAAAAGTAAAAATGCAGTTTTATTGTGTTTATCAATACCTATCGAAATGTATTTTTCAAATCGGACCATTCGTTTAAAAGTTATGCGTGATCAAAGTTTCTATCTCCATCTCCCTCGCACTCCCTTTACATGAGTAACGGGTATCTGATAGTCGGGGCACCCGACTATAGCGTTCTCTCTTGTTTTTATGATGTAGCCCCTTCTTAATTTTCAAAAAAAAAAGCTTTGCAGAAAAGTGACCCAAAACCTGCACTTCTAAGCCCATAACTTTTCTTACAGACATCAGGTTTCAAAGTGACATACTTGCAGAAAAGGTACCCAAAACCTTCTTTTCTAAGCCCATAACTTTTCTTACAGACATCCCACTTCAAAATGGCATTCTTCTAAATGATTGTGGTTTATTTCTCTAAAAATCTGTGTTCCCAACTATTGTGTCGATTTTTCATTTTTATAAGGGATTTTTTAAAATGTGTTTAAAGTACTTACTTATAAATCTTATACCTTGTCGACAGAAAACACACTGAAGAGTATATATATATATTTTTTTAATTTTTATTGTAAATGTTCGATAGACTTAAACCTAACAAATGACTCTCCTGAATATATTAATGTAAACGGTTGCCGAGTAAGTTCAGTAGTGGCACCTGCACATCCGGCTGCATTCTCACATCGATCGCGGCGTCCGAAAATTCCGAGCACGGCGAGCAACCGCAATTGGATGGCACCTCGTGCTGAAATGATTAATTTAATCAATTAATGTCATGACAATTAATGACTGGTTTCTACACACCTTCTGAGTAAACGTATGGCCATCCTCGCAAATCATTTTCACTGAGATCGGGTGATAGGATTTGATGCTGCAGCAGGTGCAGAACTTTTCGTGCATGTCGGTAAGTGTATTATACTTGGATCCAGAGGAGCAGGCACCCTCGCAGTCGGTGAATCCCTGAATGGGTTCGGCATTGACACAGGATCCATGTTCTGGTACAGGGAACTTAAGGATTTCCTTCGTTCGCGATTCGGCCAGAGAAACAGGCAAACAAGTCGCTGTAAATGGAAAGGGATCGATTGAAGTTGAACCTAATTATTTAAAGAGTCTACCCACATTTGTCCTCCACCAGCGGTTCCGATTTGCAGCGCTGACAACAGCCATCTTGATATAGGAGGTGGGAAAGGCAGCTACCAACATCTGGGCATATTTCATTCGAGTTGGTAACCAAAAACTGCCCATCCTTATTTAGGCAACTGTATGTCGTGCAATTGTCGGCCGATTTCCATAGCGCATTGATTTCGTATAGTTTTTGCTCAAAGATACATGAAGTCTGGACACATTGGCCACAGCACTTCTTGTTGTCCAAATGCTGATAGCTGAATCCAGGGGCACAGTCTGTCAAACACTGCTCCAAAGTGCTGACCACCTGGGCATTGCCATCTGGACCGTAGGAACATGTCTCCTTCTTGCAAACGTCCTTGGCATGCGTCCACTTATCACCCACCTGCTTAGTGAACTTTGAAGTTTCGTCGAGCTCATATTGAACAATGCACAAGTCCTTGGGAGGAACTGAAAGTAAATGAAGAGTTTTTAACTGGAAAACTGAAAAGAGAAGATCTCTTGCTTACCACACGTGTGAATGGGGCAACACATTCCGGCATCCTTGGTGGTCTTGACTTCATAAAACCGCTCTTTACAGTTAATGGGTGCCAGGGGACACAAATCTGGCTTGCACTCAATCTTCTGAGTGGGGCAGCACCCTTCTTCAATCTTTACAATAGCCTCGCCTTGAAGCAATTCCCGCAGCTTAATAATCTCACACTCATCCTTGGGCTTGCACTCTGAAAAATTTTAAGTTTAAGCCAAGAATATATTTCAGAAAACTATTCGACATACCGCATATATACTGGGGACAGCCGTTAACATCCATCTTCTGCTTCTTGAACTGCCCGGGACCACAGATGGGCATCAGAGGAGGCAAACACACCTTTTCTGGGTCTTTAGGCTCTGGGACACATCGATATCTGGGACAGCACTCCGCCTCGCTGACAATTGTCTGGGGTTTGTAGCCTTCGGCACAGATATTCTCCTCCACCTGGCACTTCTTCTCCACACACGAGGTCTTGCCCTTCTGATCGCACTGGCACTCCGTGCACTTATCCTTCTGCCATTTATCGCCAGGCAAATGGAGTCCATCATCGCACTTTGTGCAGGCTATTTCCGGGATACACTTGCCGCCATCCATTACCATTCCGGCGGGACAGAAGCAGCCTTCGAAACGCTCCGAAGTTAGACACATCTCATCACTCTTAAGAGTGTGAACGACGGCCTGGTTTTTCAAGCTCACCGCATCGAATTCCGACAAGGCCTTAATGGTATCGCAGTTCTTGGCACAGCCACATGGCTCGTAGACCATATCGCTGGGGCATTCGTATGGGCAGAGCTGTGGTCGTCTCCAATTGGTGCATATTCCTTGCTGGTTGCATTCGTTGGCATAGGCGGCCAAGGCCACACAAACTCCCTGTTGGGTATTTCCAGGCTTGCAGATGTCCTGCTGACAGGCGGAGACATACGCAATGGGATCCACGGCCAGCGGGCACTTGCCGAACAATTCCGGATTGTAGAATTGCAGGCAGGGATCCCTTTCTGGCGGCAGGGGAATGCACTGCTCCTTGGGCACATCTTCGCTCAGGCATTCTTCCACCAAGCCAAGCTTCGGCTCATCCGCTTGCCAACTCTGTATTACGTCCACACCGGGCTTCCTCTTCGCCGGATTGGGCTGAAGATCGTTGGCTGCATTGCCATTGCAATCGCCACAAAGTCCCTCCATCTTGCTGCCATATTTGATACTTGGTACGCCCAAGGAGAAAATCAGGTCTTCGAAAGACGCCGTCAGCTCCACATGGGATTCCGGAAGGGAGAGCACCAGCTCCTTGCCCACCACCTGTCGAAGGCTAATCCAGCTGTCCTTGAAGGGTATCTGCTTAACCTCGAATCCATCGACCAGGACCTGCAGGGATTTGGGTTTCTGCGGAATACGCTGGACATGGATGACATGATCGCCGTTGAGAATGTGCAGGGATTTGGCACAGCTGCCGCCCTCCACTGGGGTTGGCTGTCCCAGCTTCTTGCAGTCATCCATGGTGGCGTACACCTGGAAAGTGTGCACCCCAGGAAGGACCACATCGCGCGACAATAGGTATGTGCAGTTGCCATTAAAGCTGAAGCTCTTGCGGTCGTAGGTCATGTACTTGGATGCACCCAGGGCATTGCACACACAATCCTTGCACTCGGATATGGGCACGCAGTTGGGACCCTTTCGGACGGTTCCTTCAGGACAATAGCAACCCGGGAAGCAGGCATCCGGGAGAACGGGGCAGTCGTCACCATGAACATTATCGCAGGATGGCTCACAGCGTCGCTTGTAACAGTCCGTGTGAACCAACGGCGAAGGACAATTAATCTCACACTGAGCCACGGCTCTCCAAGTGGTCAATTGCACTAGGGGATTGACGCTGAGACATTTCTTCACAAAGCTCTCCAAAATGTTGCACTTGCAGGCGGCTGTATCTCCATTATTAGCCAGCATGCAATTGCAGGCAGCTTCAAGGCAATAATTATTAAGGAATTGCTTGTAATTAACGGCCTTGTGGCAGCGAGCGAAGGTAGGATGGCTGTCGAGAATTATATTTAAATATGAATACATAACTTAACTGAAACACAAGTTGTATATAAGTACTTACTGAATGATATTGCACAGCTGCAAAGCCTTTGCCTGCATCTCCCTGGAGCACTTGAGATCTCCACACTGATCCTTTGGAATTCGCTTGTCATACCAACTATCGCCAAACTTCTCGGTGTTTGGTATAACTTGACCATCCGGTGACCTCTTGTCATCCTTTGGATTTCCATTGTAGTAACCGCACAGACCGTCGACAGTGCGCATAAACTTAGATGAGATGCCCACTTTGACGATTCCAATGTCATCTAGTTGCACCCAGAAACCATATTTGGTGGATACGGCCAGGAGGGTCTTACCCGGCTGGGAAACCACAAATGAAGCCTTGCAAATGGGGGAATTTATTAGCTGCTGCACTGTGAACTCAAAGCCGTTGAATTTGAGCTTCAAGTGAGGCAGGAGTATTAACTCGTTGCCAGCCTCGATATCCTGGATGGTGATCACCTTGTGACAAACTTTGCGAGTCTCGTCGCTACATTGCTGATGAACTGAAAAAACATTTAAATAACAAAAGTAATAATAAGTTTACGCATAGAATTAATAGTACTCCATAGTATTTCCTACCCGATATAGACCAACTGCTCTTGTGAATATCTCTGGCCAGGATGTGACTGCAAAGTCCGTACTTGAAAACGGTGCCATCAAATGTGGTGAAACTCTTGCCGCTAATCTCACACACATCGTCTTTGTTGGGTCGAAGGACACAGGTATATCTTAGACAGTCTCCAACCTTAGCCGTACTCATGTCCAACTCCACATCGTATTTTTCCGGACACTTTGGTTCCGTGCAGGTGATAGTCTCATTCTTGTCCACTTGCTTGTTGGGAATGGGCACACATGTAAACTCGTCGCACTGCTCCTCCTGCTGGAAGTCCAATTCCTGGCTGGGCATAGCCAGAATTTGTTCCTTGGACGAGATGAACTTGGTCTTCGTGATAGTCAATCCATCGTCCACAATCGATACCTGTTTCGAGAAGGTAAACATCTTGGACATCTTTCTCGACTTTTTCTCCGTAATTTTAATCTTCATCTGAGGCGGGCAGACGGGCACGGGACAGGTGATGACTTCAGCTGAAAAAGCCATTTCAGATGTTAAAAAGATGATAAATTTAATTTAGAAATATTAAACTCACTCTCGTTCTTTTCTCGCTCGATTTTGGGTACCACAGTGAAGGAGTCACTGCAACTGGCATCCTCATCATCAGCACAGTCCTGAACTCCGTTGCACCAGAGAATCTCGGGGATGCAATCTCCACTGGACGGGCACAATCTTTGATGTTTGGGACAGGACTCGCACTTGCAGAAGCAGTCGCTGGTGATCACCGGACGCAATTTGGCATCCTGACAGGGCGGGCACTTCTTGGGCTTGCAATTCTTATGTCCTCCGAGTACGCAAACGCACTCTTCGCAGGCCGAGTTTTCGAACTTATTACCTATCGGATAGCTAACGTAGTTCTCTATGCAAGGACACAGATTGTGCTGGACGCAGTTACTGCCATCCCAGAAACGTTGATCATCACACTGGCATTCGGAGGTCGAACTGGAGATAGACACACCATTGCAAACATTGCATTTTGTGGGCTTGGCTTCCTCCACAGGCACTTGACGTTGGATTTCAGCTAAAGCAAAGGATAAAAACAAGAATGATAGCTATAGTCCAGAGCCCCCATTTATCCTACTATCCATTTCAAAGGAAATTTTTAGAATATAAACAAAATACTGTGGTCCCAAATATCCTTAATACTTACGATACGTTAAGAAGCATCCCAGAGGTTCAATGCGCATGTTAATGTTTCTCTCCCAATAAGCTGGCACAATCTTGAGGTACTGCGTTAGTATCGGATTCTTGAAATGATGTCTGCGTTCAGTTTCTGCATCAATGTTGGCCTCGAAGATGCGTGGCTGACCGTTAGTGGAGAGCACTGTGTTCCAAGTGGGTTTATTCTTAGAGAACATAACCTTGTAGCCGGTGACCCATCCATCCGGACCACCCTTTGTTATAAATCCAGAAATATTCCGTGGCTCCAAGAAATCAAACTCAACGAACTCATTCTGACTGTTTGCAAGAGGACGCCAAGCAAGTGGTGTCGATAGTTTTAGCAATTCCAAAAGCTGTGATTTCCTTCCCTGATTGGGCTGCTGCCATAAGCTACTGGATTGAACCTGGTCCTGGTGCATTTTACCCTCATCCACACCCATTAGATCAATGCACTCCTGATCCACCAGTTGAGCTGGACGCTCTGTTACGGGTGGAATTGTTGGAACAATTGGCACTGGGAGAGGTTCAACCTTATCTCCGCAAATCAGCAGCTCCACACGCATAGCGATGGACCCGTGCCATTTAAGAGGATAAATGCGAAGTGAGCTTGCTTCGATGGGAATCTTGAAAAGAGTCTGTACCGGAGCCCTTGAATCCAATGGACCATTGAACATCTGCGGGTTTTCTGTCTCGTCCACCAGATAATGGTAAGCAATTCCATCATGACTATGAAGGATCTACAGGAGCGAAAGCAATAAGTTTTATCACAATTAAGTGTAACATTACCAAGAACTTACCTTGAAGAGGGTCACATAGTTATCAAAATCCGGGCTTCCAGCCATAATCACGCCATAGAAGGGCTCTGGCTTTCCAAAGTTTAGTTCCAGATATTGCATTTGATCATTAATGCTGGGGGACCAACTGCCATTCGGATGATCTTTAGTCAGACGAGCCATTTTAGGACCGTGTTCTGGGGCCAGCTGAGAACTAGCATTAAATATAGTGTCGGGCTGTGAATGCCCCGAGTTTTCTATCTTGGGAATGAGGCTAGGAAGGGACATATATTAATTATTGTTTATTTTTAATAGGAATAAATTTGTTTTACCGTTCTGTTGAACATTGCAGAGGTGGGGTGAGGGTAACAGGATAAATGGGAACCAAGGGTATCACATCCACTTCACCATCTGAAATGAAAGAGAAGACATAAGCTATGGTATTATACTACTTTTATAGCTACTTACCATCTGTCTTGGGAACGGGCTCCTGCTTATTGGGCACACAAGTAAAGGCATTGTCGATGCACTGGCATACCTCAAACTCTCCAATCACGGGCTTGTGAGGCTGGACATAGTGCTCAGCATTGTCCATGCAAGGACATTCATCGGCATGAACACAGGTGTCCTCGTCCCGCCAAAACTTTCCAAGCTTAGGACAATCTGGTCGCTGTTCGTTTACACAACCCGGCTTACAGTGCTCGCCGATCTGGCACAGACCTCTCATCTTCAGGATACTGCCATAATAGTGACAGGTATGTTCACATTGATTGGCACACTCCGACTTTACCTTTCCGGGTGGACATTGTTTGATGGGCTCCAATTCGGGCTCTGGTTCCGGCTTCAAGCCACAACTGGGCTTGATTTCGGTGACGGTGGCTATATGATCGCAAATAAACATCGTAGGATTAAACATCATGTACTCCCCGCAGGTCTGTTCCACATAGATCCATCCTCCCTCGACTCCTTTGGGCTGACAGTGCAGGAACTTGTGGCAATCGCCGGGGAATTCCTTGTACTCCACAATGGCAGCATCGCAGCCAAGGCCAAGCTGTGGTTTTTCTGTGGGCTTGGGTGCAATTGGTATGGTTTCCTCATCGCACTGACAAAAGGCACGCAATTCATAGTCGTGACATTTTCCAATGCATCGAAGACCCTCCTCCAGACTGCAAATCACATTCTCGTCCATTTGTTCTGGTGCCTCGTGCGTTTCTTTCACCCGGCACTCCACCTTGGTCATGTAATCCTTCAGGCAAGTGCCGTAGACATTTTCCATGCGATCGTAACGAGGCACCTTCTCCTCATCATTCAATCGCACACTCTTGTGTGAGGTATCCCGGTCCTTGTCGCACCATCGAGTCCATCCCTTGACGCACTTGGTCTGATTTTGAGTGGCCTGAGGAGTGGGTACCGTGGTGCCCTCAATAAGTGGAGCAGAATGCGGGGTCGTCACGGGAATATCGCATTTTACACCGCTGCAAATCTCCTTGCGCTTGGAGCATCGGCAAGTGGCACACGAATCGGTATAAGTGATGTCACCCTCGTAGAATGTCTTGCCGTCTCTCACCATACAGACTGGCTTACAATCTGCTTTGGGTACACAATCGCGGTAGGTATCGTTCAGATAGATAAATCCATCATCGCACGGCTTTATGTGGCAACCCTCGAGGCAATTCTCCCGGTTGCACATCCTCTCCGCAATTCCCTGATCAAGGAAGTTGTCACAGGTCTCCACAGCACAAGCCGGAGTACAGGCCTTATAATCCGAACAATGGGGATCGCATTGCATGGCTTTACATTTAAAAGATCAATGGTTTTGTTATGGTAAAAAGCTAATAAAATATGCATATAACTAAAACTATCTTACTTAAACTTATCATTAGTTTTGCGGATTCTTTACCCTTTGGCATAATCTTTGGATGAGAAAAATTTATCTTTGGAGACCAAAATAAAATGGGTTAGACATCTATTAAATTAGCTTAGTGCGAATAAAACTACTTAGAATTCCAAAAATACTTAAAATTGAGAATCAAAAGTATAGATTTAAAAATAAAAAATTGAAAAATCCTCCGAGCTCCTTCTAATTTATTAATATGAGTGTATTGACTTCTGTCTCTCTTTTTATTTCCAAAATTGGACAATCTGATTTATACCACTTTACCAAAGGTGACCTCAATTCATGGTCTGATTGCAATTATAGTTTCAGATCGAAGTATTCAAATCGGGTGTAGATTGATACAGTGTACTCACGGCAAAAATGCTGGGCCCTCCAGCGGATGTTGATGCCTTTCTGGGCACAAGCATCCGCATAGGCAGCCATGGCGGTGCAGAGGCACTCGCAGTCACCGCCCTGGTCACAGGCACAGGTGTCGAAGATGCAGCGCTTCCAGTAACGTTCTAGGGGCACCTCAGCATGGCATTCCTTGAAGAGATCCGACTTCATAGCGCCGCACTTCAGTTGGGCCCACGTTTCGCGTTCCGGATGCAATTTGCAGGCATCAATGGGTGCCACTGGAGCCGAGCAGTGGGGCTGCAATTTCCAGGCGTGGCCAAAGAGCATCGGGCTGGTCTCCAATCCCAGCGAGGGTGTCTGCATGTCATCCAGACTGTTGCCATTGTAGTTGCCACACAAGCCACTGACTTTCTGGCGCCACTCGTTGCCTAGTTTCACATAAACCCGCGTTCCCTCGTCCCATTTCACTTGCAACTTCAACGGGATCACTTCAACTACGACGAAAACGCCAGCTTTGTAAATGTGGAAGGCATTGTGTCCTTTCGAGTTGACACTGTCACGAAGTTCTGAGGAAAAGAACATATATTATTTAAGGGGCTGATTTTAAATGGTGAATTACTAACTCTTAATAGGCGTCTTATTGGGATCAGTGCTGTATGCAGAATCCGCGCTAAGAAGTAGCGATTCTTGAGCATGGCCAGTCAAGGAGATTTCCAAAGACTTGGAGCACGTCACGCCCATTGTGCCACATAGAACATTCTGGATGGTTATGCTGAATCCATCGCCATTGTCGAAAACTCCTTTGGCGAGGACATAGTCGCAGGCACCCTGGAAGTCAAAGTCGTGACCATCGAAGGATGTGAAGTGGGAATCTCCCCAGACGCTGCAAGTGGACTCGCAGCCATTCTTCGAGCACTTCCAGTTACCAGCCTGGCACTCGCACAGATTACAGTCCTCCTTGATCTTCTCACCATCATCGTAGCTCTTTCCGGCATGATGACAGGAGCAGTTGGTGGGCAGGACGCAGGCCAGGCGGGAAGTGTCATAGACGTAACCCTCTATGCAGACGCAACCGGGTAGACAATCTAAAGAGTCGGCCACGTACTTGTCCATGTTCTTGCAGGTTTTTGGTTCTTTGGGTGCACACTTCGTAAACTCGGCGAAGGGCTGTTTGGTACATTTTGAACGCAGCTCCGAAGAAGGTGGATACTTATCCTTGTCACCTGGCTCGGCATCCTGGCAATCCCACACGCCATTCGTACAGGTGCAAATGTCCAGGAACTGAGCGCCCGGACGGACCTCTTTGTATCCTGGTCTGAAGGACATGCCGTCAAAGGTGCACTGGCACTTCTGCTTGGGCACACACTCGCCCTCCTCGTTGACGTATTCTCCATGCGGGCAACGACATCCCTCGACGCACTCCCGCTTGCAGGAGCCCTTGCTGGGCAGATCGTCACAGGACAAGGCACAACCGTCGCCGCACTCATCGAACACCTGGCCCATTGGACATTTCACAGCTGCGAAAAGAGTGTAAAAAATATATTAATTGCCATCGAAAACTAGGTTTTTTTAGACGGAAAATATGAGCCAGGACATATGTTTACTATATAGTACATTTTAAATTTTGAATTTGTACTTTAACTGGTGTAACTTTGCCTAAAAAAGACTAAAGATTTTGTTAACTTTTCAGATGACTTTAAAAAATAAAATTGTAGACAATTTTATCATCAATTTTTAGAAAATATGCACAAAAACGATAATGCAATATTAATGTCAATTTACTGGAAGTTTGGTTACGAGTTCTGCAAAGTATGGATTTTCATTTTTGATCCATTATATTAAATGTTAAATCTAAAATATTGATTTTGTCGGACGGTAAGTCTGGCCATTTGAGTAAAAAGTCAGTATTAGGACTTTGTTAGCAATTTCATATTAATTAAAAACTGAGACTCACCGCACTCTTTAACTGACATTCGCCAGCCGGTCTTAACGCCCTGTCGCATACACTCGGTGCCGTAGGCCGACAGAATGGGACAGAAGCACTTGGACAGATCGTCCTTGCAGGCACATGTGTCGTACAGACAATCCTCGTAGAACTGCTCCGGTTCGACCAGGAAGTGACAATCCTGGAAGATGTCCTGCAGAATCCAGTCGCAGTGCTTCTCAGCCAGGGCTTTTTTCTCCGGATTGAGGGTGCAGGGATGAGGTCCTTGGTGGGTCTCGGCCTTGAATTGGCAGGTGTCCTTGGTGCGCCACTTGTCCGCAAAAGGCTCCACGGCCGTCTCCACATCACCTTCGGGCGTTAGGAAGTCATCTTGGGTGTTCGAGTTGAAGGTTCCGCACAGACCCTGCGTTTGGCCACGCAAACTGGGCGGGGCGTCGATATAGACCCGCGAAACTCCGTCCCACCAGACGCGAATGCCATCTGCAAACTCCACGGTCAGGAAGGTGGAACTGGCGCGTCGAATCAGGATTTCCCCAAGACCCAGCATCTTCGGTAGCTTTACAATCGGCTTGTCATTGACCATGGTGGTTAGACCCTGGTCCAACTTGATCACCGATGGAGTTCCGTCACGTAGAACGAATCGAATGGTCACGGACTTGGTGCAAGATGGATCATCGGGGGCCACGAAATTCATGGCCTCCGAAACGGCTCCCGAACAAGCCACATTCTCCGCCTCCACCGACATGCTCTGGGTCTTCAGCAGATAGTACGAGCACTTGCCCATGAAATCGTACCGTTTGCCATCGAATGTCTGATAATGCGGATCTCCAATGGCCCCACAGCGGGCGCCACATTTGTCCTCCGTGCAACGCCACTGACCGTTCTTACAGGTGCACGTGTTGCAGTTCTTCTTGACCGTCGACTCCGGCTTGAACTCCTTGCCGCGCAGGGAGCAGGGGCAAAGTTCGCGGGTGATGCATGCCTCCTTGTACTGCACCGTTCCCTCCGGACAAAAGCAGCCCTCGTTGCAGGCGCCCTTTCGTGGCGGGAATGGCCAAGTCCGAGTCGCAGGTGGGCTCCACATTGGGCCCACAGGCCTGATAAACGCGTCCGAATCCACAGCTTATGGCTGAAAAAAAAGTTTTGGAAAAAGGGAATAACATTAATAAATATATAGTATTAACAATTTAACAATTTAAATAATAATTTTGAAGTGTTAAATATAATAGTTTTGAGATAATATTTTAAAGGATTAATGCAATACTTTAAAAGGCTATAATATTGTTATTTTTACAAACATTCACCCGATTTAAAAAAAAAATGTTCACGGCACAAAGAAAAATGATGTTAAATGTTTTTTTCTTAATTTAATATTAAATTGTGTGCCGGAAAATGTTTAAGTTTATAACAGCGAGTGTTGCGAATGTCCCTTTAAAGTCTAATACATTCTTTTTTCCCCGATTTTATCTGCAGTCTATAAAACGCATTTGAGCTTAGTTTGGTTTTATACTTACGACATATCTCCAGATTTCGCCAGCCGTGCTCCAGCTTGACGCCCTTGAAGGCGCACTCCTTGGCCAACATGGCGATGGCGTCGCAATTGCAGCTCTCCGGATGCTCCCGATTGGCACAATTGCAATAGTCCGCCATGCAGGTGCGGATCAAGGCGTCGTAGTTGAAGGGCTTGATGCATTCGCCGAGCTTCTCGTTGGCCAAGAGGCGCTCGCAGACGGAGACGGCCTTTTGGAGCTTTGTCTGCTCACAGGAGTCCATGCCGAACTCTATCTCCGCACTGTTCTCCACCTGGCACATTTCACTGTGATCCTCAACGCGCCACGCGTCGGCGAAGGCCTTCACAGTCGCCAGTTTTTTGCCCGTCCTGGAGGACAAGTCCGTGTTGTAATCACCGTCTAGGGATCCGCACAGACCACCCACTTTTCCCCACATCTGGGGACCAGCCTGCACGGAGACATACTGATGGTGATCCCAGTCCAGCTTGAGTCCCACGGACTCCAGATCGATCTGGACATGCTGGGCCACGGGCATGACTTTCATGCCCATAACTTGGACAGGCATCGGCAATTTTTTAATCGGCGTGGACAGTTGCATAGTACCATCTAAAAGTAGTGATTGTATTATTTAATGTTCTATAAAATCCGATTGGATTATAAGCTCTCACTTAGATTCTCGAAAGTGTAGAGTACGGATTGCCAAAGGATCTTGAGGGTGTGCGCGCAACCATAACCAGAGCCATAAGGACATGCCTTCAGGATAATATCGAAAGTACCCGAAACCTTGTCCGTAATCAGCGTGTGTGAGCAGGAAAGGGGAGCCCTGTAGGGAAAATGTATTTACCCATCTAAATCAAGTGTATTTCATCACGTTGCACTTACTTGAAGACCAGACCATCGAAGGTCTTCATGTTATTGCCACCCCAAGTGGTACAAAGGGCTGGTCGTGGAGTCTTGTCAATGACGATATCCAATTCGTTGCTTTGGTACAAGGAATAACTGCTCATGGTGACAACCGTTTCCTCCGATGACCACCATTCCTAGTTAATTAAGTTGTTAGAAGACGAGGTTATTGAATTCAATATATAAATGTTACATTAACGTACAGTTCTTCTTTCTACATCCCGATACTTAGCCAGCAAGGCCAAAAGCTTTTGGCGTTCGGTTTGGATTTCCAAAGCCAATCCCCCACTCGCAGTGTGTTGATAAATTCCTCCCGCCTGATGCGTTATCTTACTTGTTTGTGTTTTGGGACCAAGGCTGTAGCCATCAGCTGGAGAAAAGTGTTTTTGAAAAATAACATTATTTATAATTTTGCCTTCGACAGCTTGTCTTATTATTATTAGAGTCTATTTGTAGAAAATGAAAGGGGTTAAATATAGCTGAACACTTTATAAAAACAGGTATTATTTAGCTGGTCAATTTTAAACTTACGAAGTATGCACTTTGGTAGCGGTTCAGGAAGATATTTTCCTTGCTGATAGGTACACTTGTACTCTATGTCGAGGCGCCCTTGGATCTTCAATCCCGGGACCGGAGGGCAGCTGAATGTGCAACGAGCCTCCTCCATTTCATAGGCACACTTGTAGTTGCCATTAAAATTGGTATTAGTCACATTGCAACTTTGAATGTCTGAAAATTATACAATAATAATTAAGGTGTTTCGAAATGTTTTTTAAATGCAAATTAAAATGGAACGGGTAATAAGAGTAAGTTTTTTGACTAACACATTAAATGTGGAAAATCCTTTTATTCGTATACTTACTATATTGACATTGGGCACCCCGGAACATCTTAGAGCATTGGCAGACATTAAAGCTAATGCATTGTCCACCGTTCTGACAGGCGGGGGCACAAGTGGCTGAAAGAAAACATTGTAATCTGGAAATTTCCAATTTTTTAATGGCATCACTTACGGGCACAATCGGGTGGCTTGGAAAGACCAGTTTTAGTGTGCACCCACTGGCCGTTGCGGCACTCAATATTGGTGATGCCACTGCCGTCTGGGAACTGGAATCCCCTCATGCACTCAGCATGGCACATACTGCGATGAAGGTAAGGTTTTAGGCGCCTTAGCATCCTTAATCATATCAAAACTCACTTATTCTTGCAGGATATTTTGGAGTTCTTCGGTACGCTTGGAAAGGAAGCACATACGGACTGCTTCTGCTGGCACAAGGGTCCGTAGTAATTCTCCGGGCACTGACAGACCCCGGCAGAGATGCAGATGCCGTTGTTCTGGCACCGAGGAGTGCATTGAGCCTGGCAGGGTGGCACCTCCGTGAATGCAGAGTTGGCCACGATCCATCCATCGTTGCTGCAGAACATCTCCAGGAATTGTATTTCCTGGGCAAAGCTATAGCCAGCTGGGCAAAAGACCTTACAACGCCCATTGTGGCACTCGGACAGAACATTTGAGGGCAGCGCCAAGGCGGAACACTTTCCAAAGGCTGCCAGGACCTGGCCACCAGTTCCGTAAAAGTTTCCCTGACTTCTGTTTTAGATAAGTAATTTTAATGGATAGGATTCACCTTTTCTAAGGCTTTCACTCACCCCTTTCCAATGCCAAATGCTCCCAAGGTTTTGGTTAGGAATCCTCCTCTGTGATTTAAAGTTATGTTAAAGAAAGTTCACCCCAGTAGTATGACATTTAAGCTTACCCAAACCCGCTTCCACTAGGATAAGACGTCTTTATGCCGCCGCCATATCCTCCACCGCCATGACTTCCACCGCCATATCCTCCACCGCCATATCCTCCACCGCCATGACCTCCACCGCCATATCCTCCGCCGCCTCCTCCTGACCCACCGTATGAGTATTTCGTGCTATAACATAACATAAATAATCCAGTTATATAATCCCCGCTGAACTTGGCGAATTATCTCGCTTTCTTTCGACTTTATCATTACCTAACTGCGGGGGCTTGAAGGAAGTTGAAGTTAAAGTGGCGTTCGTTGCGAACATTCTCGTTATCGACGGCTTCCGGTACGGCTTGGACCAACGGGCTAAATACAAAAATAAATTATGCAATTATTTAGATTAAAATTATATATATTCAAATTTTAATGGTATTTTTGTTTTTTACTAAATTTTATCTGAGCTTCTTAAAAAAAAGTCCCTAAAATGTAGCGCAAGCTTGTATTAAAAGAAAAAGTAAGATATCGGATTATATTTTGTATATATTTTAAAGTCTTGTTTTTAGGGACATTAGAAATATGAGAAAAGTTCCTCTGTATAAGGATTAGTATTACAATATTAAACAAGAAAGCAAGCAAACCGAAGTTTATCTACCCTTGCAGTTATTACAAAACGACTACATTTCGATTTCTATGCCTATATTACTAAAAACAATGAAGCTATGTCGGTTTCGCGCTGCATTTTGACATCGTTTCTATTGTAGCTATATAATATTGTTGTTCGATTTTGACAAAACTAAAATCGTAATTCTGATATAGTAAATAATTGTTTCATAATATCTCAAAGGAATCACACATATTTTCATTTTTATTTTTTTAAATTTGTTTGATTCTCCTAGATAGGGTCTCCTTTATAGGGTCGGAAATGTCTCCTTTATTGCTTTGCAAACTTTTGACTGAAATTATAATAGCCTCTGCATAAACATTAAAACCTAATCTGTAGGAATGGACACCCTTTCGCAAAAGGCGAAATGTTTCCTAGATTAAATATTTATTTAAATGACAACACCTCCTATTAGAGATAGAAATACACTTTTTCATGTACTCTGGTTGTCAAGGAAATCAACTGCGAAGCTCTAATCGACGCATATAAAATTGAAACCAATCTAACTCTACTTCTAAAAAAATTCTACCAAAATCAGAAAAGGAAAATAAAAGAAAAATTTTTTTAATAAAAAATAAAATTGTGAATAGAATATGTATTGAATTAAGCAACAAAATCATCATTTATGTAAAAAAGTTTTAAAATTGTTTTGTGACTAGTCCAAAATAAATTTTTACCAATTTAAATTACAAAAAAAAAAACAATTTAAAAATAAATATTGTTTAAATCAATTTATTGATTTTATTTAACCTAAAACGAGAGAATTAATTTTATTTTAACACTTTTAAATCAATAACTCAGTAATTTTTAGAACCAGTCCAATCTTGAAATTTAGTTATAAATTTCATACTTTCACTGTCCGTTCACTCACTTTATATCCTTGTCATCCTCATCGTTCATTATAATGTCTCCATCCTCCGCCCATACAAATGAGATAAGTAGCAGCCACAAGGACAAAGAAATCACTTTGTTTGCCATTCTATTTGGCAGATGCACACTTTTTTGGTTTAATTGTGCACACAGGAGTATCCTGTTGGTAGTTAACACTGGTAATCCATTTCTGCCAGGACACTGCTGAGATGTTTGTCCTTTTAATACCCTGGGCTTAGACCATAAAGACTTCTAAGCACTAAATCACTTTTCACTTTTTAGATATCCACTGAACTTGACGACTTCAAAGCGCGATCGCTACTAATGGTGCCAATGGATTGGGAGCGCCTTTTATAGGCCCGATGGCGACGCTCTATCACACTTTCTGGGACCTTTATCAACTCTGAATTGTTAGGGTCAAGCCCACAACAATTTATCCAGAATTCGCAAAAAAAAACAACACCATCTTCAGCTTATCGGCTCTGCTGTGCTTAAATTAGCATCGCGAATGGTTTGAAACTGTGCCAAGTTTAGGCTGATGGCAATGCCTAGCTGATAATCCCATTTCCGGGAACTATGTCATAACTTTAGAACTATTTGCACTGGGGAGTTTTATTTGGGGTAGCCCCAATCCGCTGTTATGTCGCCATTCAATTTATCTGGACAGCAATGAAATACGTACTATTTTAGTTCTAGCATTGAACTTGAATTCTCAAAGTTAAATCATATAATTTAGCCATTTAATCAAAATTGCTTTAAATTTCTAACGGACTAAAAGCATTTTACATAGTAAAATAAGCAGTGTATATTCAACACGCTAGGGGGCGTATTCGTACCGCTAGGCGGCGCCTCTTCTGTTGAAATCCATATTTATTAGCACCAAAAAAGACTTTTATTTTCGTTTGTCTTTTAATTTATTATTTAAGCCTACAATGATTTCAAATTATTGTCAACCATATTTTATATATATACATAAGGCTTAAAAACACTAGGTACAAGTAAATAATTATGAGCCATATATTCTGAGCCATAAACACGAAAGCCAGCACATTTTTTTTGGAACCAGATTTAGTTATAAAATGTTTTTAAATATTTTTACTGATTATACATTTTGATAAGAGCACATTTAAGTTTGAAATTATTAAAATGGAAAAACACATTTATCTTTTAATGGCTCTTTATAAGTTTAGACCAAATAATTTCTCATTTGCATTGGACGGTCGACCACAATTGGTTTTCCGGTCGCGATATGATGATGTTTATACAAATCTCTCGGCTTAATGTACAATTCCTTAAAATCCTCACTGCTTACATGCCGGCTAGCTGGTCCAAGATATATTCCATTGATACAGTGGCTCGAATTATCTCTTAGTTCCGCATCGGGTTCGTATATGTTTTCTATAAGAGTCTGTCGCTTCTTCACCTTTTGACCTCTCACTTCCTGAGTTGGTTTCTTGAGCCTAGCCCGTTGTGAGGCCAGCCCAGTGCAACTCATGATGATTGCCAGTAAAACACAGAACTCAACCAAGGCCAGTACCAAACTGCCGCCAAGAAAGATGCCATACTGCTCCCGGTACCAGTTGTCCAGATGCGGCAGGCAGGATTCCGTGTTGCGCTCCCTTTCGTAGGACAATCGCTCGATCGACTGGCAAAGCGATTCATTGGCCGGCTTTGGATCCAGATATGCCATCGAATGACCCGCATTTTCCAGCACACAGCAACTGAGTGGCACCGGCCAGTTCCTTTGTCCATAGCCCTGCAGTCGCCACAAGGATGTGTCGTAGTCCAGCGAACTCCTCATTCCGCAGCAGCCAAAACGTGTCTGTGCCAAATCCATGGCATTGGTGAACTGCTCCTGCCCCGGAACTCCATAGTTGCTCTGCAGGGATCGCACCATTTGATTTTCATCGAGGCTGATGCCCAAACAATGTGGCCAGAGGGTTATGGCCAGGCAGAGAACGGATTCAGTCAGAAGGAGCATCACAACGCTCAGGAAGTATATGCTCAGGAAACAGTAGGTGTGAAGGCAGCTGGCCCAAAAGCCCACAACAGCGGCCAAAATCGCCACAAATCCCGCGATTGCCACGCCCAGTGCTATATAGAAAAGCAAAGGCTGGGGAAGTGAGCTCAACCGATCGCTGGAGGCGGCCAAAAGTCTGGAGAGCAGAATGCGTTTGTTGTCGGAAAAGAGATATAATCCTGATACGATCAGCAATAAGCCACATATCTGGAAAGAAAACATAATTAATACCATCCAAAAATGATCCCCAAAGAGTTTCGCCGTACTTCCTAAAGGAAGTACTTATAACTTTCACTTTGGCTAGTAGATTCACTTACCAAAAACAAAAAGTTACATAGATTGAGCAATAATTTGTAATTAAAACAGCGTCCCATGTTTGTATCGATGCGGGTGTGGTCTTTTGAAATGAATTAGAACCTAGTTTGTTATGACGAAATGCAATAATTACGACATAGAAAGCGATCAGTAACGGCAATGCTGTATGTCTCGGTGTACTGCATGCTCAAATATATATGTGTGTACTGCAAAGCCGAAACGAATAAAAGAAAACACTAATTTAAGCTCGTCTTTATCCGATGCGGCACTCTAGACAGTAAAATTTAAACTGAACTGTGGGGAGAGGCAACATTCTGTGGCAAGTTCAAAGCAGCGAAAGTAAGAGACCACAGAGAATACAGTCGTAACTCTCTACAAACCCCTCGATGGGTTTACTCTCATTGAAACTTTTCAAGCGTCTCGCTTAGCTTAGCAAAACAAAACTGAAAATGCTGTTCCTCCACCCAAAATTTAAAAACTCTAGCCGAAGAGAGAAACCCATGCATGGGCGCAATGGTCGTTACTCTTATTTGATCACTGTGGCACCATCTCCAGCCAAATGGAACCGTTTTCAAACAATAGCCGACAAGCAACAAAACAACTCCACCACTTGATCTTTATTTATAACTAGACCCTAGATTTTATGTAAAATTAACTTTTTAATGGATTAAAATGAGTTCAACTTGTACATGTTTGTTTTTCCTGGTGAAAAGTTCTCTGAAATAGTTCATGTAGGCTTTACTAAACACTTCACCCCATCAGTCTAAGCCTCGGCATTTTAAATTTTTGGAAAAATATTTTACAAATAAATTTTTTAGCATAAATTATCCATTGAATATTATTTACTAACAAGTGACTGCATCTAAACAATGCTGAAGGTTCCGAACCGACTCAAGATGCCTGTGGCCGAGCAACAACCTCGGATTGTTAAGATAGAGCGACCTACGAGAGGAATGAGACTCAGTCCCCTAAAAATGTCGATCGTTCAGCCACAGTCCTTATTGCCCAAGGACAGCCCAAATGTAGCTGAGGACCTGAAAAATCGATTGCTGGCTCTGCAAAGGCGTGTCGAGGAGTGGAAATCCTCAAGCAAGCCCTGAGATAAAGTGTAAAGCTAGGGGAGATACTCATTTAATAAATAACTTAAATCATTAAATATGCTTCTCTCTATATTTAAATATTTTGAATGGTGCCTTGGGGATTTTTATATATTTAATTTCAAAAAATAGGTCAGTATTAGTAAGGTTATGTCAAGATATAAAATCTTTTTACATGTCTTACATTGCTTGACATTTCAAATTTTGATTTAAGAACCAAAGAAAACTATTTAATGTAAAATTACCGCATTTTCCAAAAAGTCACTGACCAAATCGTTTCAATAGGGGCTGAAGTGACCTACTTTGTGGCGCGACTTTTAAGCAATCAATAGTGCGTTGATTGCTATGGCTTCTCAAATGTGCGGTGGTTTAGGTCTTCCACGATTGAAAGCCAGCCAGTAAATTGGTAGACGTCAGTTGAGAGGTAACATGGAGCGATGGCGCAACAAAGTGGCCGTGGTGAGCGGAGCCAGTGCCGGCATTGGTGCGGCTTGCACTAGGGCCCTAATCTCCGCCGGAATGGTGGTCGTTGGTCTGGCGAGGAGGCACGAACGCGTGGAGTTGCTCCGGAAGGATCTGAGTCCTGAGGAGCAATCCCGTCTCCATGCAATAAAGTGCGACATTACGGATGAGGATCAGGTATTGAAGGCCTTCGACTGGACGCAACGAGAACTGGGCGGCGTGGACGTCTTAGTCAGCAATGCCGGTATCATAGGCACCGGGGAACTAAGTGAGAGGAATGATGGAGCAGCCATGCGGACCACCGTTGAGACAAACATCATGGGCACCGTTTACTGCGTCCGCGAGTCCTTTCATTCGATGAGGAAGCGCGGGGGCGAGGGTCACGTGGTCATCGTGAACAGTGTGGCGGGTCACCAGGTGCCCAATTTGGGTCCCCAACTGCCATCCCTCAACATTTATCCGGCCACAAAGTTCGCACTTCGCGCCATGAACGAGATCTACCGCCAGGAGTTCCAACGCCACAAAACTCCTGTGAGAGTTTCGGTTAGTGTGTCACACGACCCTTGGGGCGCAGGGCCTAATTTAAATTGCTTTCGCAGACCGTCAGTCCCGGCATAGTTGATACGGACATCTTGCCGGACCAGATCCAGGGTATCATAAAACAGCACATGCCCATGCTGCGAAGCGAGGACGTCGCGGATGCGGTTCTCTGGGCCATCGGCACTCCGCCCAACGTCCAGGTAAACTCCCCGCGGAGACATGTCCTAAAGCTCAATGGCACAACAAATCTAAACAGTGGAAAATTTAATTTTGAAAAATATTTATATTATTTGTTTTATGGCTGAATTAAATAATGAATATAAAATTTAAATTTATTTTTATATACTTAATTTATTTTAATACAATTTTAAAAGCATCCAGGTTTTTCCAATAAAATTGCCAGTACATTTTTTAAAGAGCAGTAGCCAAGTTAATTTTTGAATTTTTATACTGTAAGCTGTAATCTTTTAATTTAGGAAGCGTTCATATTTTGTAATATTTTTCCAATACTGTTATTTATGATATGTCACAATTCCCCGGATCTAAGAAAATAATTTATTTTTTTTACCATTGACAGGTGAATAACATAACCATCAAGCCCCAAGGTGAAAAGTTTTAATCTCGGTTCTACAAAACTGGAAACAGCAATCGGAAAATATATGAAAAAAATATATAAAGATTTATTTTAATAAACATATTTTGTTTTAACTAATAAGATTTACAAAAATGCTGATGATGGAAATGGAGCAATGCATTATCCCGTTGTATTAATTACTAATGTTTATCATTTCGGAAATATGTAGTGCCAATTTGTATATAAACTTATTAGTGACAGTGTAGTTTACACTTCCCCCACTTGTAAGATTTCGCTTTAGAGCAAAAAAAAAAAGAATGAAGAACTTCTTTAAAGAGAAATTGTGAGAGGTTTACAGCTAAGAGTGCAGTTACAAAAAAGTGGTACCAAAGAGAGACGACCACTTGTTTTCAGACTTGGTTTAAAGAGAATTATTATTAAGTTTGGCTTTTCTTGTCTTACAATATTAACAAATTTGCTTGACATTGGAGTTAAGCAATTTTACCTAATTCCTTAGAAAAAGGTCGTTAAAGTGCTGCACAATCCCAGTGTCGGCGAATTCATTTCCCCAACCATGGATCTTACCCCACTGCAAACATCCTTTTTCCTCTTTCCCTCCTTTTTACCCTGCGAAGGACTCTCCACTTCGTATTCAGAGTGGCTTTAAGAGAGCTTCGGTGTGTGTGTGTTTCACAGGGTCCTTTTCCATTTCGTTCCAAAGCCGTTTTACAATGCCCACGAATGCATCCTGTCGATTCAGTTGTGTGGAGCCAGTCTCTCTGTAAACATCGTCCTTTTGTTCGCTGTGTCCTCTTTTATCGTTCTCTCAGCTTTTGCATCCTTTGCCATCTGTTGTCGCGTGCATCTGTTGATTGTGTTATTTTCAGAGCCAACGAATATGTTTCCCGATTTGGAGTCTGATAATTACTTGTTGTAATGCAGTCTGCAAGGGGTTTATCCGTTTAAGTCTTTTTTTTGTAAATGATTTAAAAAATATTTTTCCAAATATAGGTAAACGGATTTTGGAACAAAGTAAAGATTTACTATAAAAACATGTTACTGCTGCACGATACTGAAAAATATTTGAAAAAAAACGATTGTAGTCCCATCTTTGTCTCGCTTATAATTACCCTTTTCTTTAAACTATAGAACCTGTGTCCTCATCGGTGAATTACCATTAAGAAACTCAATTTAAATGCACATATTACATTTCGTCTGACCTGACCACGCGGTTAACAATGAAGGACTCCACTGGAGACCGCGTCACTTCATTTGATTTGGTATGAAAAATCTCCTTTTATTAATATTCATGAAAGCTGAAAACTTTTTCGGTTATTTATTTAATGGGAACTGGAATCCACTGAGTCCATTGAGGATGCTCATGGTTCGGTGTTTAAAGAAGAGGGTTGAGCTGTGTGCATAAATTTAACTTAACACGTTTGTATTTATGTGCTTTTTGTTGTTTTTAATACATAATCTAAGGTACTCGTATTCCCATTGCAATAAGATCACAATGTAAAAGTTTTATTCAAATTGGGTATATTGATTAGAAAATTTGTATATTTTATAAATTTATATCATGATGCTTTGGTTTAAGTTTAAACTTAGATTAACTTTAATGCCTATACTTTTTTAGCAAGGTTGATAACAAACAATTTAAATAATAATAAAACAAAACAATTCAGAATCCATGTCAAACGAGCTAATACAAATAAATAATGCATAAGTCATTCCGTATCGCAACTTGGCAACAAATTTTAGCACCTAATATATAATTACCTGAATAAATTGTATTTGTCTCTAATTCGGAATAGAAACAAATTTTCAAAAACAAGTGTGACGGCCAATAAATAATGAATTTACTAAATTGATCAGCCAGAATAAGCGGTATTCATATAAATCTAAACATAGATAAATGTTTAGCGGCTAATTTGGCAATGTTATCTTAAATTTCAAATATGTTTACCAATTTTCATATAAATTAGCGTAAGCCCCGGCATAGATAAGGCAATTAATGTGTGGAGAGCAGCAAGCCGCTATGCAAATAGTCATATGTTAAACGCCAGCCACCGAAATGACATCGATTCGAAATTATAAATCACGGCTTGTGCGCTCCGGTCGTCGATGGCAATACAAGTACTATTAAAAGCCATTTCGATGAACCTTAGTACTCGTAAATCATAAAGGAGCGCCTTCTCAGTATCTACCTCGTCTTTCGACCGCTTTATTGTTTTGAAATTTATGACCTGAAGTGGCACTCTGCATTTGGTATTGTCTTGGTTTGGTCGACTGCGGTCTTTAGTTGCTCCTGACATTTAAAATTCTAATTAAATTGGAAGCAAGATAAGTATAGTATTCTAGCAGTAATTACTATTATATGCCATTCTGTGATTAAATAGAGATCCACTTCTTTATCTCAATCAGTTGTAGCATCAATCCATTAAGATTTGTGAAATCTGTAGCACCAGGCTGCCGCCTATCGAGTGAATACCTCGTTAAGTATGTATGGTATATGCGTATAATAAATTCACAAGATAAACAAAGCTGACGTCATTGACTTCACAACACAGGCAAGCTGATTGTTGGAGATGGAGAATCCAGGACACTTGCCTTGATGACAGGCCAGGCTTTACAACAACTGCGTTCGGCTCGATTCAATCAGGTTAAATAGAATCGGTATGAGATGCTGGAAACATCAGCTGCAGGCTGCTTGTACCATAGCAAATGCATCCTTATTGTCCTCTTGGCCAAATATGAACGGCATGGGCGGATAAAAAAGATGTTTGGGGGGTCTTGAGAAATATTACCAATCCTTAACGATCCCCTATAAATAGTACCTTTACCTCATGTGATAGTTTAATACTATTGTTATTATTTACCTTTTCTTTAATATTATTATATTTTTTGATAATATGTTTGTAATACCAACAATTTGGACATTTTTGTTTAATCACTTTAAGATCAGAACTAAAATGGTTAATTAAATATTCTGGAATCCACCACAGATGAACAGTGATTTTCCCGAGTGTATGTATGTTTTATTTCAATAAAGACGACTACAATGATGGACATCACTGACTTAAGTCAACATGTGTATATTGTACTCATGTACCCAGGATGAATGGATTGTGTTGTTGAAGAGTTTAAGCATTTAGGGGTAAAATTAATACGAAAGGCACGCTAGGACAAAACCTAATTGAATTTTCTCAGCCATGTTTTGTGGAAAATAATTTATATTGAAATTGTATAATACGAAAACAACGAAGTTTATGAGGCAATAGATTTCAATGAATAATGGTTGATTCGGCAGCACATAATTTGTGTGGCGTTCACAAACTTCCATGACTCTTCTCATAGCAGCTCGCAACGTCCGTGCCACGGCTCATATGCTTTTCATTTTCATTGGTTATTTGTCGCTTGACTTGTTTTTCGGCCATAAAGATTATAATCTTTGTATGCTGTGCGGACCCCAACAATAACAATAAAAATGGAATTTGTTCTACCATAACCCAGCCAAAGCTGTGATGGAAAATGTTTCAAGCAAATTAGGATACACATATATCCTGTAGTTGTATGTTAGAATAGCGGCAAAAATAGGAGCTTTGGAAAAATAGAGCAACAGCGAAATATTCATCTTCTAAATAATGGTTCTTTGGGGAAATACAATAAGGTACTTTTAAATTTCGCTTTTCATTTCTTTCCTTGATTGTTTTGCCCCATCTTCCCACCTAAGAAAATATTTATAAAGACTTTGTATTACAATTTAAGCACAAATATATATTTTTTTTATTTTATAAAATTTGTTTGAGCATTAATCTATATTTATATATAATATAATTTTCACGATTGGCAGTATATTCTAAAATTTTTAAGATTCCAAAAGGGGAAATCTGTTTATAAATTGGATGACATCTTCCGACTGGCGACTTATACGCTCGGCTCGTAGCTTCCGGTCATTGGTAATATCTCTTAAAAATGTTGACCAATTTGATGCGAGGTTCGGCAATTGCTGAATAGATATCTCAATGGGTGTCATCGTATTTTTCTTAATATTTTTCAATTGTACAGCCGATGAATTTTCTGTAGCCGAAACTGACACAACGTTCGTCATCTTTTTTAAATACTTTTAAGTTGACTGATGAAAATGGATTGTTGAAGCAGACTGATTTGAAATTAACCATGCATTGGTTTATATAGAACGAAGCAGGTAAATTTACATAACTCTTTTGCACTAGGTTCAGGTAGAATCCACGGAAAAACCACAGATTTGGGCAAGATTCAGGTAAAGTAACGCCATCTGCTTTCTTAAAACCTGGTAAATAATCTCTTAACAGATGTAAGGGCCTAATAAAGTAATAAACGAAATAAACCCATTACGTAGGTACGCTAAAACAATTACCTCTTCAAAAAGGTGTAATATATTTTTTCTAAACGTGTTCTAACTAACAATAATAAAGTATTCATTATTATTGTTTTGTGTTCCTATAAATTATTAATAAACGAGAGAAAATAAAGTTTGATTTTCTTTTTGTTTATATTTTATTTTAACAAAGAAGGCTCTGCGTATTTGTTAAGAGTTCTGTCAAATTGCTAAAATAGTATCGTGTAAAGTTTAGACTGAAATATTGGCCGAATTAAAAAATTTATTTTTGTACCCCATTTCAATTTAATTGAAATTGTTTTTGGACACGTTATCAAATTGAGATAATCAAAGTAATCAATAAAGAAGTGAAGATGCCTTTTCATGTACAGGAAGCGAATATGCCGAAGATGGGACGCTCAATTCCAGCCAGAAGAATTACGACGGAGGACCTTAAATATCGTTTATTTAGTCTTCAAACACGAGTCAGAGACTGGAAGACGATTCAGAAGAAGGAAACTGAACAGAATTTAAGTTTATGGGAGCTCCAACTGACAGATTTTTAATTTAATATAGGACATCATGTAAAAATCGTTCTGTTTGCCTTACTAAATTCTACAAATATTTTGAATATAGTTCAAATAAATACTTGTTCGTCTCGTATTTTCGAATTTATATTAATGGTGCTTCATTATTCGCCCCAAAAAAATGAAACACTTTTGGTGCTGCACACTGCGAATTCGATTATTCTTGGGAAAACTCGCTGCTATGGTAAATTTAACAGCCACCATGTCGAATAATCTTCTTTTAGGTATGCAACAAATTTTGTTACAGGAACTTTTTGTTGGCAGAATATTCATACGCATTCCATTGCAACATCCTGTCGCCTGCGAAATTGAGCAATTTAATTATACTCGTATGGAAAAATAATGATGCTGCCTCTGCACATTCTCCGGAAAGGTAAACATTGACATCCAGCGAAGGCTTCAAACTGCCGGGCGACAATTGCAATTAATTGCATATTTTAAGCCATTCCAGATTGGAACCGCAGACACCGTGAGCAACAACAATTGCTCTACAAAAAGAAAAAAAAACAAAATATATGTTTAATGTCCATAATAAAATGTAAAAACAAAAGGATTGGCTTGCCCGTTATCAAAGGAAAGAAATTAATTGGTATTTATGCCGAAAAATTAACAATTATGACAATAAAATTCATTCTGTTTATTATACGAATATCCGAATTGTAATGTTAAATTTATCGTGGCAATAAAATTTTAAAATAAAGCGTTCATAGTTTGCAAAATTGTGTGGAAACAAAATATAATGTGAGTGCATTGAAACCACTTTTATTGGAAATCAGTTTAATTGTTCTCTTTGATAGTAATTTAATAACACTATTTGTTTTTTAAAAAGTTTAGAATGTTGGGGAATTTAAAGGCTAGAATACTCATTTAACCTTAGCTATGCAAATCAGCAAGTATATAGGAATATTCAAGTCTAGTTAGTTTCTGTGGCACCCCAGATAAAAAGTACTTTCCCATTTGATGGCATTTTGGTGCCTGTAGGCTGTGCAATTGCCTATCTCCTTTTCCCATAATATTTCTGAGAGTCCTCGACGTGAATATTCGCTACTTTTACAAGTTTTTGGCCTACCATGTGGGAAGTCCCAAAAACAAGAAATAAATGGCAGATCGTATAGGCAGTGAGGAAAGGAATCATGGGCAACTTGGCGTGTGTGTGCCACTTGACAGTCGTTTAAATGCATTAAAATATTACCTTCTTCAGCATGAGCAAAACAAAACAGAGTCAGAGGCAAACATGACATCCGCCAAATTTTCACATGCGATAGACTTCTGGAGGGGGGATGGGGATTGGATGGTCTGCGGGGAGGAGACGCCCACCAGCAGGCCGGGAAAAATCAAATCATCAGCCAAGGCCGCGCCAGCCAATGACTACAACAATGGGCGAAAGGATAGCTTTGGCGTGGCTGTTTGCTACCCGGACAGGAAAAGGGTTTGCCACAGTATTGAAGTGGGTAGGGACGGAATGACTGAGTCGACTAGTTAACACAAATTGAAATTTTTGAATCAGCAGACCGAAAAATAGGAATACAAGAATAAAGCCAAACGCCCATTTTCAAGTTTTGTTCTTCATCGATTTTCCCTTTTTCCAACTTAATTTTCATGAAATTTACATTCGCTTTGCTGGTCAAACTTTAATATGAACGTCAGGTAATCAGACAGAAAAAGTTTTCTTAAAACCCCATTAAAACGTTAGAAAAAGCATTCATAGATATTGTTTTCTATCATTTAAATTAATAAATGTCAAACAATATAATTGCATCTAATAAATTAGTGCCGCATTGTGAATTTAATAAAACTAAAGTACTCCAAGTGACCCAAAACCAACTAAAAGAATGAAGCTAATAAAAACTGAGGGAAAGAAAAAAGTAGAGGAGACAGTACAAAAATAGAGAAATCGGGAGTGGCCGGCGGAAAACAAAATATTCATGAACACAGCAGTCTTATAAATAAATTTCAGCCCCAGCACAGAACCCATCATTGGCACTTCCACCCTTAACCTCAGTCGCACCCACATCGTTGTCGTCTCCCGATGCAGCTGCTATATAGTTGGTGTGCCACCCACAGAACCCCACAAAACCGGGAAGAAAGTGGCTTTGGAGCGGCTCGAAAAACTTAAAAATATGCTAACAGAGAGTGGGAGAAAAAGGGGCATCAAGCTTTTATGATGGTTCGATTTCGTGGAATTAGCAATGAGCAGGAATTGCAGCAGGATGGAAGCAGTAAGAGGTCGACCATTTGCCACTGAAAAGTAGTCGCTTATGCAAGAAGCGAATTTTTAATAATACCAGGGGGGGGCTGGGAAAATGGTGGCAAATAGTTGCAGAGTGGCGAATACATAATGCAGCGGCCATCAGGGTACAACCCGTAAATACACTCAACAGAATAGGTTTAGTATTGCACCTCTACAAAAGAGATTTTATAGCAGAATGCCAAACCAAAAAAAAAGAAATAGGGCTTCAAAATTATAACCTAACATTAGAGGTATCGAAATTAGGATAAACTCTTTTTAATTAATTTAAAATTTGCACAATTTTATAAAATTTAAGCACATATTAAATTAATTTATTTCTAAAGGTTGTACAATTTGTTTAACGCCTTTTATTTAAATTTCAGCCTCGAGGAGTTTAAATATGTTTTAAGATAAATCCTTGTGCCCAATGTTATTTTGCTAATTAAGCCTTTCTTAAATCCAATCTATGAAAATCAAAGCAAAAGTGTTAAATCCATTCTAATTAATTTAAGCCATTGACATTGACAGGAAATCCCGATTATATGCAATTTGCCGAACTTTCAACTCCAGGAAAGGATCGTGAAGTGAAGTGAAGAGAATCGTCAGCCGGAGGCGGCTAGCGACAAAAAGCCATAAAATAAATTATTTCAAGAATCAATTACAACTAATAGCACAGACCAGCTGGAAACCAATTTAATTCACTTGAGCTGCATACGTAGCGCTTTTGCCAAAGGAGAAAGGAGAAGGGTGTGGGATACCAGTCAGGGACAAAATTCAGGACCCAGTGGCCCCAATGCCTTCCGTTGATTTGCAATGTCTCCAAGTGGGTGGATATGGATGTGCTCATGGGGTTCGATTTGCCTGGCGAGGGTGTGTGTGAGTATGTAAATCACATATGCGATGATTTAAGCCAATGCATAATTGATTGTAATGCCTGGCAAGCCGATTTCGGTTTGCATAAGCACAAGGCCAGGCACAGCATCCAGTCTTCGGAAATTAGCCTGGTTCTGTGTGGCCGGGGGATGGGTCGAAGGGATGTGAGAGAGCTTTCCCTTGCAAATTGGCCAACTACTAATCAATGGCTAAATGCATTTGAAGCCAGGAAATAAAAATTAGGAAACGAAGGGGGGACATCTTGAGTTTGCCTCTCATTGAAAGTTTAAAATTATATTATTATGTTCTCTATCGGGACAAAAGGACTTATATATAAATGTGTCAGACTAATTTTTAATTAGTTTTCTCTCTATAGATAATTGAAGTGGGGGTTCCTATTCAATGCTCGAATTTGTTTAATCCAACACTTAAAAACTGCCCCCAAAATTAGAATTAATGTAAATGATTTAAACATAAAATGTGGTAAAAATGTATTGAAGTAAGTTATGTTTTTATGATGCTTGAATTAGTCGATACTTCACAAACTATGCGATGTCTAATTATTTAAATCATTGATGTTCTTATTATATTTTTAAGCCACAAAAAACATTCAGACAAACGTTACTGCTTCCTGGTGCAAAAGTTTACCATGGCTATTCTTGTTTTTAGAAGGAGAAAAAAATGCTGGCTGAAAATACCTAATGGCTGGCACGTGAGATGGTAAAATGGAGAGATTAAAATAAGTTTTAATAGTAAAAACAATAGGATACCCTAGTTTAAAAGGTTTTATAGTCCAGGTAAAGAATGAACTTGCCTTTATTTAAGTTGTGGATCGCTATAAAACTTTCTGGGTTGTTATTATTTTGTTAAATTGTTTAAAGGGAGTGGCCAATCGAAATGGGAAAATCGCTTAAACATTTCTTTGAATATAAATTGTTTAAGTTCGAGCAGCATTTTTATTTTCATTTTCAACAATTACATATTTAACATATTTAATTTATTTCAAAGTGGATAAGATTTTCCATATTTTAGATGGAAGTTGGTACCCCTGTAATGGTTAGCGGAAAATAATTTTTAGCTACGCCTAAGTGACCTTTTAACTTTTTTCCCAAAGAGCACGTTTGGCCGTTAA